TTTTTTCAAAAAATCTTCGGTCTGGGTTTTTTCGCTACAAACATTTATATTTTATGATACCGCAAAATTTATTATTTTAATATTTTTCGTCTTTTCATAATTCACAGACCTGACCATTTAATGGAACTATGTCGTAGTCAACAAAATATCTTACAGACGCTATAATATTTTAAAAGTGCCTTAACTACACCGATTTAAAACTTTTAAAAAATGTATTTTTGAAATTCTTTCGGATTTTACTCAGTTATAAACTGTTTTAAATAAAATCAAATAGCGTCTGTAATTTAAATAAAATCAAATAGCGTCTTTAATTTGCGTTTCAAATCCAAATTTTCTAAGATTAGTTTTAAAACGCAACAAGTGAAGCAAAAAAATATATATATTTTAATGCTCTGAGAAAGATTGTTTGACACAAATCATAACTTTTTTCCATGAAAGATTAATCCTTCTCTGTTAAAGGCTGTTTGACACCAATGAGCAATCACCAGTGTCTAATAGCACTGGCGATGATTCATCTCCACTTTGTAAAAAAAAAAAGAAATGTAAATGAAACAATCGAATCAATCTCTACAGAAAATATGTACACATATGAAAATTTGGAAAAGAAAAGTCTAATTGCAAATAAAATTTTTACATGCAACTGTTCCCTTAAATTGTGCAACAAACCTGTACAAATGGTGGTCAGCAAACGCAAAACATTATTATAAAAGAACTTGCTAAAATTTTCTTATTATTTGCGAATGACAGTGTTCATAGTAAATGGCTATTTTTGGATTAGCATTTATCAAATGGTGAAATGTTTTTATCGCAACTCACAATCTATAGGTTTTAAGCAACATAAATATGCTAATTATTTGTCATAATTAAAATAAAAAATGGTTATATTAAATAAAAATATTTATATATTTTTTTATGCGTTTTTCTGGTATCCGGTATTCGGCAGTAGCCGTATAGGCAGAATACCGAATATTCACCGAAAATTCGCGACATCTCTAGTTTTTTTTATTTTTTAAATCTCTTTGCTAAAAGGTAAAATAACTATAGCAACCAGCAATTTCCTCACTAAAAATTGCATTTAACCCCAAAAGCAGGTGATTTTCAAGTTTTCATTATGCAAAGCAGTTCGTATTTTTTAAGGATTTGCCCCTCTTCCCCTCAATTTATTTTAGAATCGCCGCTGCATGCTACTCTTTTTATAATACAATAAAAATGACAGATATAAATAATAATGTTAGAGTACTGAAAACTACCATGACTCATGTAACAAACAATTTTGATGTTATAATAATGCAATATTTTTTATAACATTGTTACCAATAATGTTAGAAACAACAAAAAAAGAACGAGACAAAACCAACAAACAAAAATTACAGTGCACAGTACTTTTTCTCTCAGGTTGTCAAAATCAATGCATTTTTAACTCTAAAAAGGTTATCATTTTTTTTTAATAAAAAATGTTACAATTTTTTTTTATGACGGCAGATAATTGAAAAAATTTGTTAGTTTAACATCAATTATTTTAAATTGTTTGACAGTTCTGTTTTTAAAGAAATAGCTTCATCCACAAATTCATCTAGTCAAAAAAACGTCATATAATGACGTTAGCAAATAAAATATTTATATGAGGAAGTTACTTTAAATATAACACTGCGGTTTTATAAAAACCTCTAAAAATACAGAAAATAAATGAATTTTTTTTGCAAATAGTTTTTCTTTTCAAGTTTGCAACTGCTGTAGATGAAGGTAACTTATGGGATTTTTCCATTTAACCCTAACCACGTGTTTTCTAATTAAGAAATCGCATAACTATATCACAAAGTTGTTTTTTATTTGTTGCTTTGGACACGCAAGAATTTAACAACTTTAAAAAAAAGGCAGCAATTTACTTTTATCTTCAGCAGATAATTGGAAACTTAAAAGAAATGTTGTAATGAGAAATGTCTATCAACCTTTTCTTTATCGTGGAAATAATTCACATGACGTAGTTAACTACATTCTTGTGATAAGAGTATGACTCTGCTGTTATTATCATGATTCAGAGAAATTAAAATGTTGTTTTAGACATAATCTGTACAAACATTAATAGGTTGTATTAATGAAGCGCTATGTGTGCATAAAAATACAATCTGACAAATTTTGTATGTATGTAAGTATGTATGTATGTATGTATATATTTAGGTACGTACGTTCGTATGTATGTATGTATGTATGTATGTATGTATGTATGTATGTATGTATGTATGTATGTATGTATGTATGTATGTATGTATGTATGTATGTATGTATGTATGTATGTGTGTATGTATGTATGTATGTATGTATGTATGTATGTATGTATGTATGTATGAATGTATGTATGTAGGTAGGTAGGAAGGTAGTTAATTGTGATTTTGTTTGTTAAGCTAGGGATTGTTCATATATTTTGCAATGCTAAGTGTATATAAAAGATATAAGTAGAATATCATTTGCTTATATGCACGGCGATTGTCACCGAACTTAAAGCGCTGTTTTGATTATTGGTTTTATTAAAGATTTTGCGGGCAAAACCTTTTGATCTTTTGTTCGTTAAGTTTAGCATTACGTAAATCAGGAACGATTCCCTACTCTTGCGTGCCATTTACACGGTGGAAAATGTTTATTATTTTTGGAAAAAAAAAAAAAAAAATGATTGTTTAAAATAACTTGTCAATAGTAATACCTTGTCAGTAAAAAGAAATTTTTATTCGGATTTTTTTTTAATTAGTTAAGAGCAGGTCTAAAGAGATAGAGAGAGAAAGGGGGGGGGGGGTAATACACAGGTTACAGATTTATACGGACCCCGAGTTTAAAAAGGCCTAAGAAAGAAAATATTTGTTTCATGTCACGTTTCAGAATGACACATTGATTCAGAAACTGCCTATATTAAAATGGTAATTAAAACTCACATAAAAAGGTTAATTAAATATTTTAATATGATAATATAAAAATATTGGACAGCAAACACAATTTATTGTTGGAATGTTTTTAGTACCAGAGAGTGACGAAACTAATAGTGCAAAAATCAGGGAGCAACAACAGCAGATTATATTACCAAAACATCTAAGAATGATTGAAACCAGGAAAAGCTAGTAAAATTTATAGTTAATCTAGAGAAAATACTAGAATTAGATGCATTTGTATATACTACTGTGAACAATGATTCGAACAATATCAACAAGCTAACATTTTTTTTCAATCTAGAGTAAAAACTACACCTGTTGAAATTGATGTTGGTGCATTATCATTGGTGCATTCCTATCGGTTATTATTATGGTCCTAAAATATATTGGGTACCGTATGGGAGTCGTTCGGGTATCTGGTATGGGATATAAAAGAGCTTTTTTTATGGGCTTGGTCTCGGACCCATATGGGAAAGCAATAAATACGGTGTTTTATTTTTCGATATCGAGGCAGATTTGAAAAAGGTTATATTTCAAAATAAAAATGGCTAATCGGTTCGCTACGTGCGATTTATTTTATTGTATTTTAATTAAAATGATTGATTTTAATTAATTATATATATATTTTTCATGAAATTATTCATGCTAATAATAATAATTTTCTTATTTATAGTTGTATAGGATTTATACAGATTAAAAATTACACTGTTTGAAACCGAAAAGTTAAACCAAATGTTAGTTTTATTAAACTTTTTAAATTTAAAAAGTTAGTTAATAAAACTTAGTTTCAAAAGTTAGTTAAACAAATGTTAGTTAAACATTTTAAAAATGGTAATATCGCAGTAGTAAAATATAATAACGTTAGTACCATTTATTATTTATTGCTAATCTTTAGTTAATTAATAGTTAAAAAACTATGTGTAAAAAAGTGTTAATTTTTTCTAATAATAGTTTCTTACAAAGATGACTAATAACTGATAAAACACTTGCTAGGTCCACTACCATTGCTTCATTATATTCAATAGAAGCAATATTTTCGACCACAGTTTCTGGTTTCTCTTGCTACTGCTGAAAATTGGCAATTGTCAAAGCAATTGAATTTCTTTGGTGTTAATGATAAAATTATTTTAGTAAAAAACATATTAACTGATAACTAACTAAATATTAAGTATTTTAAACTACCATTTAAAAATGGCTTTCTAGTTGTTCCACAAATACATTTTTTTTAGTATATCAAATAACTTGTTGCATAAAACACTATTACTTTACTATTTTGTTATATTTTGATAAGTAAAAGTATTATTTGGCTTCAGAACAGTTATTTATAAAGTTATTACTTTTTCATTATTAGTTTTGCAGCTAATCAGTTTTATGATTATTATGTTGATTGACACTTTGTGATTATGATTTATTCTAGTTTTATAGAAACATAATATACTACCATGTACAGGCCTTGGCGGGAAGTGTGAGCTATAGCTCTCACGTCATTCTTTGAGCTTTGATATATATTATGATACACTACATTTTATGATTTATTATACTATAGTATACTCATAAAATGTATCATTTGATAAATCAAAGCTCAAAGATTGATGCAAGAGCAATAGCTCACGCTTCCTGGCCTGTATGTATGTTGAATAACTTATTATGTCTTATAAAAAAAGTACTCAAATAAGAGATAAGATTAAGAGATAAGAGGCATGTGTAGTATATGTAGAGTCATGGTGGTGTATATTTTTTTAATTCTATTTTTGTGATACATTACAATTATGTACGCTATAGTTTTATTCTACGAAACTAATAAAACAGATTATGTGCCTCTAACTTGAATAAGTGGAGTTTAAATCAATTCACTTCCATCCAGTATTAAAAATAAAGTATCTGTTTAAGTCTTTTGGCCATTTGGGAAAAATTTAAATCCAATTAGTATTGCAAAGGCTTCAAATAATCTAATGGGTTCAGATGTGTATTGGCCTTTATAAACTGCTAGAATACTAGAAATTGCATATAAAATTAATGTTATGCTTTTATAATCATATTTTAATAATATTTCAGTGCAAAAAAAATGCCTCTGAGTTGCAAATTTAATACAATAACAATTTTTAATGTATTGTTTTTCAATTTATTTACAGACAGTCTTACTGAAGCATGATCAAAGGCCAAAAGAGCAGAGGACACATTAAACCTGGATACAGCAAAAAAAATGCATTGAAATGTGTTAGAAGGTAACTTTTATTTCAGAAATTAATAATTTAATAAATTATAAAATATCTTTGTTTGTATTTGTAAAATTATTTAGATGTAAAATAATTAGTTCCTCTGAGAACGAAGAAGAAGATTACGATCAGATTATACCAAGGTTGTTTTATAATTTTATAAACAATTGTTTACTAATTTATTCATCTATTGTTAATGTGTTTGATACTGTATACTGTATCTATTATTATGCTTTATGTATAAAGCATAATAAAGACAATATTGTATATCCAAATATTTTGTTTACTTTATAAAGTAAAAAGAAAACTTGGCACAAAAAAAGAATACCGGATTCTTTTTGTGTTACTCAAGTAAAAAAATCTACTCCATCTTTCATTCACAAAGAGACTCATTCAATAAGAGAAAATTTGCTGAATCTGTAAGTAACATTTTATTTGTTATTACTTTAAACACAATAACTATAATACAATTGTTATTTATTTATCATTAACCAATATGAAGTTGTTTATATATCAACCCCATCTGCTACTTTTATATTTCTTTTACAGTTATGGAAGTGATATTGAGTTGAACAATTGTGAATCTAATGTTTTACCAGCTGCAACACTAAACTTTGAAACAGAGAAGTATTGATACAATTATCTAATTAATGGCTATATTTAATGAACTATGATATTTATTATAGAGAAAAACTCAATATTATTGAGTTTTTCTCATGTTCTTTAAGTGTTTATAAAGTAAAAACAAGTGTTACAAGTTACAAACAGTATTTAATTACTGGTTTTCACAAAACCGCAAAAAGCTGTTATAACACTTGTATATTTGCTAATAATCGACAGAAATTAAATAACAATAAAAGTATCCGGATATAAAATCTTTTTTGGTACATTACCAATACATATGCCAGTCTTATAATATATTTGGTATTTAATAATATGTGTTATTATTTATTGTTAACTTGTTTAAAGTATATATATTTACATGTAATAATAATATTATACAATATCAGATATATGTGTTATAAATGTGAAATTTTCTTTTTAAATGTCTTTATGTTTAATACAGCAAACCTCTTCTTTATTTAGGTGAGTCTGTAAATCTACAGATGATTGCTAATTTATTAGCAACTGTTATTAGCAATCAGGAAGATATGAAAAAAACTCAAGCAATCCATACAGCACAAATTCAATCAATTTGTTGCAAACTTGATTTAAATGATCATATCTCTGCAAATCTTCCAGGTATTCCATTACCAGCTAAGTCAATAAAAGAAATAAATATTGTAACACAGAAGCTAGAAAATCCCGGAATAAAGTAAATAGTTGTAAAAATAATTACTTACAAGATTTTTTTAAATACAGTTTATTTAAGAATTGTTGTAAACAATGTAGTTCTGAACAACTTTTCAATTTTTAATTTAATTTTTTTATTTTTTTATATCTGTGTACCATAACTTGCATAACTTGTATACCATAACATGTGCACCATAAATTTTTTTTAGGAAGATTTAAGAAATTTTATTTTGAGTTCAATGCTTATGCTGCTAGACAGCCTTGTTGCTCATAGCTTCAATTTGATCGGACAAAAAGGAAAACAAGCTTTTAAAACAAATGCACTTCATTTAGTTCTTTGTAGTGAGTATAAATTTGGTTTATATATTATTTGTGTAGAGCTATAAGTCTACCCAATATAGATCTTATTAACTTCGTTGTGCATTTTTTGTACACCTTCATCGTCATCGTTATTGTTTTAGCGTCATTGTTTCCGTGCCTGCACGGGTTGGACGTTTGTCATTACGCCATTTTAACATACACGGTCTTTAACATCTTTTTCCCTTAAATGTAGCATTTTCAAATCTTTCTAAGTTTTTCTATTTCTATTCTCACTTTTTTCTCCTGAAACTTCCTACATGCTGATAACCAGTCATCTGCACACTCTACATGTCCAAACCACCTCAATCTTCCCTGAAGCACCCTATCAGATACACTCATTATTCCTAATCTTTTTCTAAATAAAAAGATTAGGAATATGATCGTCACTGTTTTTCTTATCTTTTCGAGTCGTACTGCACATCCACCTAGTTATCATCCTTTCTTTCCTTTCCAAACGCTGAACATCATAAACATATAGGCAATCATCAGCCATAAAGTACAAAATCAAAAAACAGTTTAAAAATTACAAATACACTGGAACGAGTTCTAGGGTGGAATGCAAGAAGCGAACTTGAGTCAAGCTCAACTTAAACTTTACATTATAACCAATAGCGACAGAGTATGGGTTTTCCCCTCAAAAAATGCTATGCCGCTATTGGTTACAAAATAAAGTTCAAGTCAAACTTGAATCAATTTTGCTTCTTGCATTCCACCCTAATATACTTCGATGTTTCTTTCGGGCTATATACAGATTTCCCTTGTCGTAACCGTATGGGCACCATATGGGCTAATTAAATGGGCTGCATTCGGGAATCATATGGTTTTTCCAGCGGGAAGCCCTTATGGGACCCGTGTGGAGCCCATTTGCATCTGCCGCTGGGCTTGCAACGGGTTGCCCATATGGGTCCCGTATCAAAGCCCGTATGGGTCCCGTATCAAAGCCTGTATGGGTCCCATATGGTACCCTTATGTGTTGGCTGGCTGGGTAGTACGTGATTGGTTGGTGTGGAGCCGAATGAAACAAGTACTGAATTAACTTCCTCGTCGCTTATTTTAAAAACAGCTCATGTAAATTTAACCACGTTTGGCTACTCCAGAATATTTTTCTAGAACATTAAAATGGTAAAAGTTGTATGAAAATATTCCATAACATCAAGAAAGTAACCCTCACAAAAAATATTATATTTAATGGTTTGGGTTTAAGCAACGTTTTAATTATAACCAAACAACAAATAACCAACTTCAAAATACTATATTGTCACAAACTGTTACCTGGAAAGAAACTCTAAAAAGTATTTTGAAGTAACTTTATTTTTAGGTAAAAGAGGATTATTATTGAGAAGGTGCTATTATCAAAAAAAAAAAAAAAAAAAAAAAAATTAGATAACGGGAAATTTGTAGGCTAACCTGAACTGCAATGTCATTACGATCCGATTATTTGTACTCGAAGACTCGAAGACAAAGTCTTCGAGACTTCGAGTACAAAGTAGACCTAACATAAGAATTAGGGAGAAAACTACAAGTTCATTAATTTTTGATAAAGTCACCAACGAATTCATCTCAGTTTGTGCTTTCAGAGTTAAAAGTAAAATTTTGGCAGAAAGAAAAGTTAAATATTTTTCGGTAATGGTTGATGCCGCAATTCTGTACATATAAAGCAGACAGCAATTATTTTGCGTTATGTTTTTCATAGTGATGATTTTTCCACTTATAAAAATCACGAAAGATTTTTGGAGTACGTTGATTTCAATTAAAAAAACGTGTCACTGTGTGGTAGTCATAGTTTAAATTCTGTGTCCAAGAAGCTGTGTCCCAGAAACTGTGAAGTTCTTTGGTTTTGTGCTGAGACTTTATAATTTATTAAGCAGCTGTCCCCAATGATGGAACATCTTTTAAAATGAAATTGGCTGTTTTTTGCATAACTTATATCAAACTTAATTGGCTTATTGTGTTAATAGCGTTATACTTTTTTTGGCTTATTTATCAGGTTTTACGAAAGCACTAAATGCAGTTTTGTCTCTAAATTTTACTCCAGAAACGCGTTCAAAAGTTAACGGTATCTTAAAGTACTTAACTTATTTTGAATGTTTATGTCTGCATAACAGGTGAAAGTGCTTATAGCAATAACTCAAGGAAATCAGATTATCCAAGCGCGAAATTCAACTGTAGGTATTAAAATACACAATATTGAAAGTTTATTTAAGTTGAAATTGTTACATTTGCGTTGAAAAGTATATTAAGAAAAATATCTGGAAATATATCTAGAATGAATTAAAAAATATTTCAACACAAGACGAAACATTTGTAAAGGAATATTCAGTTAATGTCAGTAAAGAATTGCCAAATAAAATGTAAAAATATAAAAGCAAATCATTTCGCTCACCACAAAAAAGACATTTTTTCTCTATTAGAACTCCTTGATAAAATAAACCCTTTAAAGATTTCACACCTCTTTTTTAACATTTGTATTGCATTAAAAATACTTTGCATGATTCGAGTGACTATGGCGAAAGGTTTTAAAATTTTTTTAAAGGTTCTCAAAACAATCGGCATCGGCCAATGGTAACCAAGACCGATGCCGATGCATTGGCTAAATTATCCGTTTATTTAACCATAAAATTAAAAATTACAAATTTAATTATACTTTACAAAGTTAGGTTCGGTGTCACTCATATAGTTAAAAAACTAGTCAATGGAATGACACTTTAATAAAATAAACAAATAAAATAAACAAAAAATATTAAAACAAAGAAATAATAAAGAAAGTAAACTACATTAATACAAGTAATAAAAAAAGAAGTAATAGGAACAACAATATTAAAAAAGTTGGAATCAGAACAAAAATATAAAGGAGTAAGGCTAAAAAAAAAGAAAAAAAAAGAGAGAATGAACGGATGAGATAAGATGAGTGAGAAAAAAATGTAAGAAAAAACAAAAATTTTAATTACATAAGTTCAGAAGGATAGAGTGAGACAAAAAATTTTTTGCTGAAAAATATAAAAAACAAAATTAAAGGCAAACTTAAATAAAAAAAAGTATATACCTACATTACGTACAATATTGAAGCCTATATTATGTCTTATATAGATTAGCTAAACAAAAGTAAATATCAATAAAACAATAGTAAAGATATAGAAAAAGCAACTGTAACTAAATTGACAGAGAAAAATGCAAAAAAATACATTCAACATTTTTTATATGCTAAATACACGACATATAAACTATGTACGAAAAGTAAATAAAATTGTTCTTTTTCTTTTCTTTCCAAAAAATATTGGCGGCAGCAAAAGTTATTTTCCATTTTCGGAGACTATTTTCTTATAACTTTGTTTTTATTTGTTTCGGTTTTTTTTTTCTTGTTTTTTTTTATTTATTTAAATTTTTTATTTATTTAAATTTTAAATTTATTTATATTTTTATTTATTTATTTATTCTTGTTTATACACTTATTTTTTAAACTTTTATTACCAAAATGTTTTTTGATTTATTTTTTCTTCATAAAACCTTTTTTTTTTACTTTTCACTTAAATATATATATATATATATATATATATATATATATATATATATATATATATATATATATATATATATATATATATATATATATATATATATATATATATATATATATATATATATATATTAAGGTTGTTTTTTTTTGAATTTGAATTTGAATTTGATATCGCACACCCTCTTATTTGGTGCGGTTCAATAAAAAAAAGTTCACAGATAATTTTTTTTTCCAAACTGATGTTGGGAAGTGGTCCTCCACACCTGTTTTGTAATCCCTTTAAAACCCCGTTTTTGTCCAAAATGACATATTTCTAAAATGTATTAAAATCAATTAGTATCAGTATTACATGCATCAGTTTCACTTATTAGGTTTAAAAAAAATTATGAGAATGTATATTGCAATGACCTATTTGTAACATCAAGTTCAAGAGAAAATATATCTACAACAAATCTATTGAAAGATAATTTAAATCCAAAACGAAAGGTATTTCCCAGTTAATTTATGCAAAATCTTACCTAAACAAATGCTTAATTTATAAGTTTTTAGTCGAGTTGAATTGTGGTTAATAAATTATAGCCAAATAGGACATTTTGCCAACATTTTTAAAGTATGTTAAGTAAAAGTAAACGCCCGAAAAATAATAAAAAATTACCCAACAAGTAACGTTTGTTTTGCGTTTTACATAATTTTTAGCAAAAAATTGTACTACGCAGCAAATAACGTAAACAAAAGAAAAATGATACAACAAGTGTTATTCGTTTTTTATATTATATTTTATTTTACGGTAAACAGCTAACTATCAAAAAATATAAAACAAATAAAAGTTGTAAATAAAGTCTCAGCAAACTTTATTCTTTCAGTCTTTAAACTCTCACCTTGAGCTTTCACTGTTGCGCTCAGCAGGAGTTTTAGGAGCGCTCTGCAGGAGCTTCATGCTCAATCTCTAGACTGGACTGTGCACTTAAACGTTAGTAATTTAAAAAAAATGAAAGTATTTACTTTTATTTTTTTGTTTTGTTTACAACGTACATTGTGTAATGTAAGAAAAACTAGAGAGGCATGCGTTAACAGAGTTGCGCACGAAATAGATATAGTCCAAATTATAGCGGAAACTAGTAAAATTCTTATCTGCAACAATGGACTTGAAGAATGGTTATTGAAAACTGATTGTAAGTTAAAGTCCCTTATCTTACTCTACCTAAATGTGTTATAAATCATCATGTTTACGTTGTTTTACATAAAGTTAAACTATTTTTTTGTTGTTTGTCCTTCAAAGAATAAGTAATTTGTTTTCAAATGTACATAAATAGTATAAATACGTTGTCATTAACGTTCGCGATTTGTAAAAACCAGGTTTAATTTTACGGAGGTATGACTTACTAATGATAAAACAACTATTCAAGAGTGCAAAATTATTTTTCCTATTTTTATGATGAAAATTACCCTTAAAATGTTTAGCCTAAGTTATATTTAAACAGGCCAGGCCAAAAATTTAAGTTAAAAATCTAAAATTTTCATCTACTGACACTTTTGCTATTATTTATAAGTTTACTTGTTTAGAGTTTTTTATAATTTTTCTTTCCTTCTTCAGCCATATTTAATAGGGTGGGTATATATACATAAAGTAACAGAAGTTAAAATCCAGGAACATTATACTTTGCAGTTTTTATTATTTGCATCAAAATGATCATGCTTAAAGTTTTAGCTCCCAAGATCATGTGCAACAGGATTAGGTCAAAGAATATTTTCAAAAAAATAGCTTTTATTTTTTTTAAATTGAATTTATTTTCTTTCTAAAACAATTAAAAATAGTTTTGATAGGTACAAACAATCATATATTTAGATATCATATATAAATATCATACATAGATACAAAGTATGTTAATATTAATAAGGTTAATAGTTTGAGTAAATAGTTTGTTTTTTTTTAAAAAAAAGTAAATTTTTTATCATGTCTACTGGTATCAGGCATTGTCTTTGTCTGCTAATGCAAGACCAATTAGTTGATCATCCAAATACCAGGTGTGGTGGTTAAAACTTTTTATTAGAGCATTTCAAAGATCTTTGTAATTATCAGAGCAAGAGTATAGGACATATATAACATTTATGAAAAAACATCGTTATACTTTTTCGTTTCACCCTCTAATAATATCTTGTGTGTAACCTTGGTTATTTGAATTGTCAAAATATATAATGCACATGAATCTTGCCTCACGCATTGCACCAGACTGCGGGAATCTGAAGTTCTCAATAACTTCTCCAAGTAAGAATATATTTAACTTGACTAACTTGCGGTAATCACCTCTAGCAAAAAGTTTATTATGAAGCACGTAAGTCAAGTAGGCTAGGATATTTTTTTGGCTCTTTCTTAAAACATCTGAAGGATCTGGAGTTGAGACACTTAATGCCATTTAAAAACATCTGATCGTCTTTAAAGAGTATTTGTTTAATTTTTATATTTTATATGTCTTAAAAACTTGCATAAAAATCTAACGTCTCATCTGCGTCTTACACATTATAACACATATAAGGCGTCTTTTTGATATCTTAATTTTGTCGTCAATATGTATTTGAGCAGCCGTGGCGCAGTGGTAGCGCACTTGCCTCAGAAACGTAAGATCAGTGGGTCAAACTCCACCTCTGGGCAAGTTTTGCGACATTGGTTGGGAAGGAGGCGTGAACTTCCTATTAAATGCTCTTCCGCGGTGCTCTGTGATAAGACCGTAAGGACTTCTTGGGGCACCTTAATCAACTTAAAAAAAAAAAAAAAAAAAAATGTCAAGACATCTGAGAAACTAAAAACAACTTCCAAAGTCTTTATGTCCGCTGTAATATTGATTCAATTAGTTTTTCATTCGTAAAAGTACAAAAAGAGACGATGAAATACCGGGGATGTTTTAAAGAACAAGATTGAAAGCACCATTTTTACATGGTTTACTTGTTTACTAATGCTGAGATACTTAATAATAGATCGGAAAAAATCCCATCATAAATAAACAAGTCAATCGCTACCAAATATTTGAGAGAGCTACCAATATTCAAATTTTAAAACTAGTAGCGCTAGGCCGCATCTAGTCCGTTACTTTTTTTTTTTCATATCTGATAATTAACTTTTTTATATTCTTGATACCGCTAGTAACAGTAATATATTAATACAAAATATTGTAGTGTAACTTTTTAGCACTTAATTTTATACAATAGTAAGAAACCTGGTTAAATCATCAGAAACACAAAAATCACAAAAAAACACAAAAAATTTAGCATGCAGCATGTGTTTCCTTAGCTAAAATACCCAAAAAGAACAATATCAAACTATTTATGAAATAAAAAAATCTTTACTTACAACTTATAAAGTTTTTATTATTGTATTTAAATTTTTGTTACGTTCAGTTTAAAGTATGATGTATCTGCATGATAACTGCATGGGTTCATCCACTACCAACTGCTTATAAACCCAACTGTTATTGTGTAACCATCCTTTATGTAATTATTGGTGTAACCATCTTTGCTGCTGATTGCTTTAGCCACACGATTGGGCATTTCTTGCATGAGACGCAGGAATATGTTGCAAATGTCTTGATTGTGACTCCACATTTGGAGCATGTATTTAAACAACAAAACACTCAGTGGTGGGTTTCATTGGATTGTAGAAGTACAGTACTGTACGTACATGTAACTTAGCATAACGTTAATACATCCAAAATAATTAATTCAACGCATACATGTACACTGTACAGCAAGTAAACATTTCCAATTATAAGGAAATGATACTCAATTAAATAAGATAGAAAAGACTTTTGTCCAATCGTTAGAAGTCTATTCTTTGTACTGGTCTACCCAGATTATTCTTTTCGTCAAGACCGAAGTTAGCTTGGCTTTTAATGGAGGATATATAGCGGTCAATCTAGTATTACGCAGATGACGTCTTACAGTTTTGAGTGAAACCAGCACGCCATAAATTGATATCAGACAAGTATGATTGAGACGTTTTTCTCTGCAATTGGATTTTTAGCAGGGTTTCTAATCATTTGGACCAATATATAAAAAAAGATCTTCCTTTTACATTCATATTTATACACACACACGCTTACACACACACACACACACACACACACACACACACACACACACACACACACATACACACACACACACGCACATCAACAGTATAGGTTCAATATCACACGATACTCATAATAAAAAGAATCGTATGATATCGCATGGTTGCATAGTCTCAATAAGTAAAAAAAAATGAAAATGTGAATTTTTGAATTTATTATGAACAAAACAAAAATAAAATTTTTTTTGTTTTGTTTTTTGTGCTGTTTACTGATTAGTTTGACTAATCAGTAAAATACTGAGAAGTCAAACTAATCCGTATTTTTACTGATTAGTCAAAAAAAAAGTAATACAACGCAATTAACTAAAATAAAGTTACAATACTTTATGAAACATTAAATAATAGGAAAGATGTCATACAATCCTCAAGAACTTCTTTTATACTATATATACATTTTGTCACTTATTTAACTTAACTAATGCACCCAAGTCAATTTTAACCTTTGAATATACTTTGATAAAGCTACTTTTCCCGTGCGTAACTCTATATCAATCAAAACCAATTAAAATTTATAAATACCTCAAGTCAAAAAAAATAACATTTCATATATTGCGTATTATGCAGTTTTTTCACTCTCCTGTTAAATTAGTAAAAATGACTCGAGTTCTCAGTTATTATATAAATTTATAATGACAAAGAAGAATGAGATAGTAGCTTTAGAGAGATTAAACCGTGATCAGAAGCAATTTAAAGTGAATGTGAAGAAACTGAGCACTGACTAGGATCAGAAACAAGACATAAGTTGACTAAAGACGATAAATGATTTAGATTGTCTGGAAAGCGAGTTGGAATGTTGACTATTTGTGTTACAGATTGAGAAAAGCCAAAATTTGTGGGCTTTAACACCTGCAGAATCACTGACACTAAAACCAAGCCAATCAGTGTGATGAGCATTTAAGCCATCAACAAAAACAATATTGACTGAAGGATATAAAAAAAGTGCTCGGTCAAATTGATAAAAAGTAACATTAAAAAGAGTGCAGCCTTAAGAAGGAGGAGAACAAAGAGAAAGGCGATGGAGTGAGTTGGTGCTAAATGAAAGCACATAAAAGAATAGTCTGCGAATTCAAACCTAGTTTTCCAAAAAAATGGATGAAATCTTAAGAATTTCAAAATTAAAGGTAGATAACCACCAACACAAAATTCACAAGATGATACAATTGAACTCAAATTAGTTTAACAAAAAGCAAGTAGGTTTGGTGAACTTTGCAAATAACATTCAACAGAAGGAAAGTTTCTTCGAAAACCACGAGTTTTTGTGTTTTATAGTTTTTGGTACTTTGTTCATTTTTTACTGACTCACAGATAGTGCTCAGTACACTATCTAACAGTCCAAGCAAATGTCTCATTACTATTAATAAACTTTAAATCGTAACAAAGAGCTCCAAATGTGACCTTTACAATGCACACCAAAATTACGAACAGGGAAACCATCTCATCACAGCACTGTTATTACTCTGATATTTTACAGTTGTTAATGGAATTAGCCTCTCTGAGAATAACCACAGAGTTCGTGAATTATGACTACTACCCGGCCTCAGAACCATAAAACTTAGTTTTAGAGCTGTACCCTCATTAGGAGATAGTAGAATGAGTTGTCTTGTCATAAAAATAAAAACACGGTATATTTATAGGACTTAATTATAATAGATAAATTCCATTTAAAAACGTTTAAAATTTATTTTTGAAGAAACATTTTGCTCTAAAACTTCAACATCATTATTTAAGGTGGTAGTTAACCAAAAATTAAAAAAAGCTCATTTTTTGCAAAAATTAAAGTTTAACAACTATATCCTTATAAAATAGTTAAAAATATATATCAGGCATTTGAAAGAACTCTTTAGTGAGAATAATTTGCATAAAAATTTTAAAAAATTATAGACTATTTTTGGTACTGTTGCCATGGAAATTAAAACAATAAAATGACTTTAAGAAAGGTTATCTTAATAAAAAACGTTAAATTTTGAAATATTTTTTAACAAGAATGACAACCACATAAAATAGATTGATTTGAACGAGGGATTTTTTTCCATGACAACTGTTGCTATGGGAACAAAGAAAAAACTGTTTTTCATAGTTACGGGACCAAGAAAAATTGCTAAATGAATATAAAAAAATATATAAAAGTATATATTTTCGGAAAGTACAGAAATTTCTCTTTAAAAATATACATTAAAAAAATACAAACTTTTCAAAAATTTCGGTTAACTACCACCTTAAAGTTAATTGAGTTTAGTTTATTATCTTTTAAAAATATTTTTAAGCCTTTTGTGTACAAAAGCAGTACATTTCTATTGTAAATAAAGCAGCAAAATTTTGCTTTGGAATTTTTAACGTTATTTTTTGAAATAATTTTACAAAATAAGCCGATATTTAACTGGCATTTTCGGTTTGCAAACTTATTTAAGTAAATGCTTTATAACTCATAAAATACTAACTTTTGCAAAATATTAATTGCATTTTATTTAATTAAGAATACCCCATGTATTTTAATTATTATGCAAAACATTTTAATTAATATGCAAGCTTTGTTTAATAATAACTTATTTGTAAAAAAAACTTTGATGTCAAAAATAATGTTTTTGTAAAAATGCAATATATGATATACTAATATGAATATTGTAAAGTAAAATGAATTTTCTACGTGTTGTAGGTCATATAATAGATCATTTAGAGATTGAACTAGAGATTGTTAGCAACCATTACTCCCGACACTTTGAATTTATTATTTACTTAAAGATTTAATCTTCTAATTTTTGATGGAAATCAAATCGTTTTTTGCCTTACAACTTTGTTTTGATATTTTTTGGTATTTGAATTATTTTTACAAGTAGAGTTCTAAAGTAAATCATGTGATTTAAAAATTTTTATTATATAGTTAAACAGCAGGGCCGTAGGAACAAAAGTTATATTATAGGGGGTGGGGGGCCGTACTATACCGAAAAAGTTTTAAGGACCTTTTTTTTGACATTTTTTCAATCAAAATTATTTATTTGATAAATTTTGGGGGTGGGGGGGGGGCTAATGCTTTTGCTGTCCCCCCACCCCCAAAATTTATCAAATAAATAATTGAAAAACTATTTTAGTGTGCAACAATAAACAAAATAAAAGTAAGTCATATTACGGTGTGCAAGCAAGTCATTTTTTAAAGCATAATAGAGAGAGGTACCCTTGCACTTTGATTAAGCAATAATCTTGGTAAAATTTGTTGTGCACGCAACCCTGCGGGCATTTGTTTTTCTAAGTTACGTTCTAAATGTCTTTAAACGTTTTTTAAACGTCTTTTAAATGTTCTTTACGTAAGAATGTTTAGAAGACGTTTATAAAACATTTAAAATACATTTAGAACGTAACTTTTAAAAACAAATGCCTGCTGAAAAGGGTTAAATAAAAATATTTAAATATACGATTTTTTTTTTTAACAGTCATTACTTTTAAAAAATAGTTTTTGCATTTTTTTTTTTCGAGTAGAGTTGTTTTTTATATAGTTAATGATTTTTTTAATTTAGATACCATAGATTCTCCTTGTGCAAAGGATGTTGTTCCATCGGCCGAATATCGTTCAATATATGCGGTTTGTGTTCAAAATGTTCCGACAATATGCTATAAAGGGGATGGCTTAACACTAATTAATTGGCTTCATCATCCACATAATGCAGCAACAAACGTTAGAGCTTTGTTTCCGCATTTGTATAATAAACCAAATAAGCAAGAACAAACCATTGATGACAAAATATAAAAAAATCAAAAAATATTTCAACGGGTCACAAAGTGCACATATTGGAGCACAATAAGTTCTTCCCTTTAAAACACGCTGTAGAAAGTTTTACGTAAACGAAAACGATACAACATAGAGTCATATGGTTAATTTTTGTATTAAAGTCAATTAAAATGTCTTTAAATAAAAATTAGTTATTAAATAAAGTAGACTTAGTTATTAAATTTAGTTATTTTTAGTTATTAAATTAAGTAGACTATAAAAATGTTTAGAAGAAATTCTAGTATAGAGTTTCTGATGTTAAAGTAAATTATACTTAGTATTACAAAGTATAATTTGCAGTATGTATTTTAGTATATTTACAAAGTTTGTAAATATGCTAAAATACATACCATTATATTATAAAGCTAAAAACCACATAAATAGAGAGCTGGAACTTTTCTCACAAAAATAGTTTCGCTCTCCATAAGTATTTATGTAATAATTAGTAACTCAAAGAACGAGAACTTTCACATTTTCATCTGTAAAATAACTGTTTGCACAACGATATAAATTCCAGCCAAATTTTAGCCGTTTCGAACAAATTTACTTACCGAAGTACTTTTCAAGTGCTGAGTTGGCAGTGGCTGTATTTTAACTCGTATTGCACAACAGTCCAGTTTTCATATTTCGTTCAACGCTCTAACCAACTGTGCAATCTAGCCACAATATTCTTTGTTTAACATTAACCACACGATCCAATCTTACAGATTAAATTTTCAAGCATAGGGAAATAAAATATAAAAAAAAGTCGTCGTGTTTAGTTTAAATTTCATTAGCATTATTTAAGGAAAAATTTAACTTTTACATTAAATCACGGTTAACTTTGCATTAGATTTTTCATTGTTTATATCTACTTCCGGCTGTTTCAAAAAAATATCAATTGCTTTCCTGGAATATTTATTATCTTAATTTTATTATTTTTTCAACATTTTTGCTTTGTCATCATAAAAATTGTTTTAAACTACACTTGTTTTACTTTTTCAGCTTGATTAATAGCAAAAACATATTAGTTTGCTTGACAACTCTGGTTCACAAGTAGTTTAATTAATTATACAGACCAAAGAATGTAAATCATTATTAAAAACTTTACTTGGCACTTTAGAAATATTTATAAATCAAAATTAATTACTATGCACATCGATTATTAAATTTATTTTTTAAAGGCTGGGTAAAAGAAAAAAAAGTGTTATTATAGATGATGAAATTTGCATGAAACTTTCAAAACGATTCCAGGACATCATCTTTATATGGGAGTCTTCAGAAAAAAAGAAAGGCTATATTTAAAACAATAATACTCAAAAGGTCCCTCAAAAAATTATGGTTTGGCAAGCGATATTGCAAAGTTAGAACTATTTTGGCCTATCTCCATGTTTTTCCGAACCGAGAAAATCAAGTTCAAAGTTTTAAATGGACCTGCAGACCAAATGACATCAAAAACGCAAACAAAACCAATTTGTATTAATTTCTTATACAGACTATATACTATACTAGACTAGACTATACCACAAAGAAACTGTTTTAAAATATTTAAAGTGCGGATGTCTGAATTACTACACCTTGATTTGGAGATCAGAACAATGTAACACACACTTTTTTTAATAAAATACAGTATTATTTTATTCTATTTTTATTTTCTGTTAAATAAACATAATAAAAGCTAGTATATTTCATACATATTGTGGCAAGATGATTGTATATTTTGGCAATTAAAGTACTGTAAGGTATATATCTGTTTTATTAGGAAAAAAATATTATTTTACACGAGTGAACAAATTACTTAAACACACTATTTTGTCTAAAACTCAATTCAGCAGAGAAGATAAGTAGTATATTATATTAAGTATGTACTTTAAAGATCTTCACAACGAAATAAAACTTTAGTTATAAAATCTAAAAGCGTAACATCTAAAATACATTGCACAATAAAAAGATATCTTAAAGAATAATTTAAGAGAAAAATTGGCAGAGGGAAATTTTTTTTTTTTTTTTGAAGAGCAGGAATTACTATGATTAAACTAAAGGGACTAAATATTTCAACAAGAGCAAGTGCAATATCAATTTGATTGTGGGTATTATCAACCTCTTGCATATATAATTATTATATAATTCCTTGGTTTTAAACTTTTACTCTGCTTTTTGGCTAACATAGCACAAACCAAAAATCAACAATTATACGAGTTCATTTTTCATCACTGGCCCCATTTTTGCATTAAAAAAGTTATTTTTGTAGGATTATTGAGTAATAAAGTACGCACATTTATTAATTTACCAATGCACGTAAGCCTTTTCTTCATAAATATAAAAAATTATGTGGTAAATCTGGTATTTATTATTTTTTTAAACATACTTCTTTTTTTTAAATATATTTTACATATCTTTCTTTACGTTTATAGTTAGGACATTTGCAAAAACAAATTATAAAGGATATCACAATTTATCAAACCGGACTTATACAATATGCCCTTACAGCGGATTTCCACTTACAAGAAATTTACCGTGGATCGGAAAGAAAAAAAAATCATCCAATCATGTAACATAAAAATTGCGCATCTAAAAATTTTTTATTACATGATTGGATGATTTTCTTTTCCTTTCCAATCAGCGGAAAATTTCCTTTAAGTTCAATCCGCCTTTAGATATATTTTTTCCTTAATCTTTATCGATAAAATCGTTTATTACATCAAAATCGATATAGCAAAGAATATCTGACTCGATAGACATCAAGCTTAGCATGTTTAATCTCTACTTTTTGAAAATGAGCGCTCCACAGAACAATTTGTAATCATAAATGTTAAAAAAAAAGCAAAGAGTAATTTCGACGTTCGGAAAAACAGATGTAAGTTGTCATAAACCAAAGTTTCGTAAAGTTCAGAATAAGAGATCTGAGTTTTTTAAGCAAATTTTAATTTGACGAGCTGTGATATTACTTCTAAGTTGTTAGAATAAAAATCAACCAAATTAGAAACCTTCTGTCGGTGTTCATTTTCTAAAAATTCAAAGTTAGCCAAAAAAGAAAAAAATCTCCGCAACCTAAAAAAATAAACAATTTAATGAGCGAAGCAAAGTGCTCATTAACTTCTCTCTTAATTCTATCAAACTAATTAGAATATCGCTCCACAATACGAGCATGAAGACAAATTCAAAAGTTCATTTTATTTGTAATACATTCAGCTTCGTGCTTGGTTTTACTTTTTTGAGAAAGATCTTAGCAATCTCATTCAATGCTTTCAATATAGTTTTAAAAGAATTGAAAACTGCTTCTGTAAGTTTTGCGTGAGCCTCCCAACGCATTTATGATAAAGATTTGAGTACTTTTTTGTTACCAATGTGTTGTTTTAAGACATCCCAGCGATACGTCGAATTTGAAAAATATGTATACAATAGTTGCACGATAGAAAAAAATTAACTGCAAACAAGCAGCATTGTATAGAAATTTGTCCAACTAAACTCAACGAATGCGTAGCACACGGTATATAAACCGCACGACGAGTCTCGCCTAAAAATTTGAAAACATTTTAAAATTTTTAAGTTTTGCAATTACCGCACCAACGTGACTTTTTATAATTAAAAATTTTAAAAATTGTTCAACTGGCTTTTCGTACTTGCCACTAAAATCTCTTACATAATGTGAGATTGCACTTTTTTTTCAATTATATTAATTAACTCCTCGCATAATGTTTTTGATATGTAAGATGGATTTTCTTTACCTTTATCTGTATATGTTGCAATGTAATTTTTCAAAAATGGGTCAAACTGAGCCACAAGTTCTAGCAACACCAAAATGCTCGTTTGTCACCCGAAAAGGTAAACTTTGTTCAGATAATGTTATAATGACTGGTATGAGACGTTTCAATACTTCTTTCCAGTAACTTTGCTTCGTTTGGAATTGAGTTTTGTTTTCTCCGAATGGGAACAAGAAACCCTAAAATCTTAACCCCTTTCCCTGCCCCAATCGTGAGAGCAACAAGTTGATGAAATATTTTTTGTATCATCTTCAACTAGACTTATATTCATCGATAAATTTTAAATTTCATAGTAAAATATTTTAGTGTTCAAAAATTACGATCATTTAAAATTTGCAATCCCCTCAAATTGAGGGGTTTTTAAAATTTATATGGTCATAATTTATGAACACTAAAATATTTTACTATATACCAAATTTCACATGGTCATAATTTTTGAACGCTGAGATACTCTGAAACATAAATTTTCTTGATTAATATAAGTCTAGTTGAAAATAGTACAAAAAATATTTTATCAAATTGTTGCTCTCACGTATTGAATAGGGGGGCTAAATTTTTGGGCTTTTTTGTTCCCAGACTCTAATCATCGCAATTATTTGCAAAGTATCCTTATTTAACATAAGTATAAACATATAAATGTTTGGAGTTTGCTCCATGTCCGAAGTCAGATATCTCGAAGACAAAAAAATGCTGACGCAACCTTGTATATATATATATATATATATATATATATATATATATATATATATATATATATATATATATATATATATATATATATATATATATACATATATATATATATGTATATATATATATATATATATATATATATATATATATACATATATATATATATATATATATATATATATATATATATATATATATATATATATATATATATATATATATATATATATATATATATATATATATATATATATATATATATATATATATATATATATATATATATATATATATATATATATATATATATATATATATATATATATATATATATAAGGGACGTCTGAATAAGCGCGAATTTCATAAGTGAGAATAGCGTAAGTGCGAATTGGTATAAGTGCGCCAAATAAATTTGCAAACATGGGTATAAGTGCGAACTGGCATAAGTGCGAAGCAGTTGCAAAAACTGGCATAAGTGCGATTTGGCATAAATACAAACTGACAATAATGCGCCGAATAAATTTGCGAACATTGGCATTAGTGCGAACTGGCATAAGGGCGAAATACTAATTTGTACTTGAACCAATATTTGCAGTTTTATTCGGCGCACTTATGCTAATTCGAATGTTTGCAAAATCTTTTGGCGCACTTATGCCGATTTGCACATACGCCAGTTTGCACTTATGGCAGTTTCTGTAACTGCTTTCCACTTATGCCAGCTCGCACTTGTGTCAATTCGCACTTATGCCAATGTTTGCAAATTTGTTCGGCGCACGGATCCCAATTCGCACTTATGCCAGTTCGTACTTGTGCTAGTTTTTGCAACTGCTTCGCACCTATGCCAGTTCGCACTTAAGGCCGTTCGCACTTATGTCAATGTTTGCAAACCTTTGATTGGATTAAAACAGAGATAGCACATTGTAATTTTAATTTATAAACAGGATTAAGGAGATAGAACAAAACGCAATGTCAGGTAAAGTAAGTTAGTTTTATTTTTTTACTGATTTATTTGTAAAAAAATATATATTTTATCTATAAAAAAAAAATTATCAAACTCAATTTTTTTGATTTGTGAAGATAGAACAAAATAATTCTAACCTCGCGATATGTCAATGTTGATTGAAAACACAGTTTCCTCACTAATTCCACAATAAATAGTGAGATTTATCGAAAAAAGTGTCTTAAAAATCGCTTATTGTCACAGTGGAACGCCCACGATGGTAATGCAATCTTTTAGCCTAACCTAGTGTTTTGTCATTACTTTAAATCTACTTGAGACTTCTAGAATGTATCGAGTATCGATTTCATACTTAGAACACACAATCCAGCAAATAGTCGTCTAATTGAGCAATATAGGGTGATTATTAAAGCCAAATTACGTAAAAAGTTTAGGCAAGCAAAATTAAGTACTGACTTTTTTTTTTTTTTAATTATTCACCTCCCCAAGGCCCGAGGGGACCATTACAGTTGAGGAGGCTACTCATTTTTTGTTGTTGTTGTTGTTGTTGTAAATCGTGGTACAACCCTCTCTCAACTCCGAAACACGAACCTTGACAAGCAAGGCCGCTGCGCGGAGAAATTAAGTTGAGCGCAGTACTTCCAGGGACGTGGTGGGAGTCGAACTCCGAACCTCTCGCTTACAAAGCGAGCGCTCCTACCACTACACCACTACCGCATTAACGAAGACTTAAAGAAGAAGTGGGATAAAACCACCAAAGAGTGTGTGTTACTCTTTGAGTTCTGTAGCCCTACCCACAAAAAAATTTGTTGTTACGGGTACAAAGCTCAAAGAGTAAAAACTAGCCCCGGTCTGCCCTAAATCTGTTTATTCAGAACATAAAACTTTTATTACAAAATCCAAAATTATGTTGAACCTAATTTTTTGACATAATTAGTACTTAAAAACCAAGTTTTAGTTAAAAACAACAAATTGGATGACTTTATAGTACGTGTCTCACGATACATAAAGGTTGGATTCCAGGCCATTAAATTTTCGTCAAAAACAAGTTTTTGTTGTTGATTCCTTTATAAACGCAATATGACTTCAAGCTTACAGTAAATGTACGCGTTTCGTGTTTAATTTTAATTTTTTTTATATCGAAAGAATTTTATTTCGAATTTCGAAAGAATTTTATTTCGAATTTCGAAAGAATTTTTATTCTTTCGAAAATTTTTTTTTTAATTTAAAAAATGGTCACACGTGTCTGTCCTTATTAATCTAATCTATTATTATTATCTATTTCTAGTTCACTGGGTTAGAGCTCACTGGGTAAGAGCTACACGATTCCTGTTTGGCTATTTACTAGAACTACATGATTCTTGTTTGGTTACTTACTAGGTTCAGAACTTTTTAAATTCAATCTTCCTTTATTTTAAAAATTATTTTTTAAGACGGAAAACGAATTGCAATTTTTTTACATCTAGTATATACGCATTGAATACACCATAAACACAACCTTAGTATAAGTTGTATAAAATTGTGAACACTTCTTACATGAATTAGGAAACGTGGATATTCAATTTTGTTTCATTTTATATAATTAAATAGATATACATTTGATTTTAGTTCCCATATACATATTTGTTTAACAGGAATCAAAAAATAATTAAGGAAGTTGTTCGATTCGCTGCTTAAAACTCTTGAACTCGTCCCACAACTCAGTTGGAAGGTCGTTGAGAAACTCATCTTCGTAATACTTTTGAAGGTCATTTAGCTGTTCAAGCCAATAAGCTTTAGGGGTCGACATCAATTCTGCCATATCAATATCCCCAAGTCCACTTATATCAATACTGCCTTCTTTTGGAATTAAACCAACTGGAGATTCAACGGCAACATCTTTGTTGTCTACCCTGTCGCAAATCCAACTTAGTACTCGTATATTTTCACCGAATCCTAATATAAAAAAATTTTTAAAAATATATTGGCTATTCCCAGATAAACACAAAGTATTATTTTTTCAAAACACCTTCTAAACAAAAGAATTATTTATTCTGTTACTTAAAATTTAGCAAAAAGAGAAAATGATTATATTACACATACCTGGCCATAAGAAACGACCTTCTGCATTTTTTCTAAACCAGTTAACATGAAATATTTTTGGAAGTTTACGACCTTCTTTGTTCATACTCAACCAATGCTTAAAGTAATGACCAGCATTGTAGCCGAAAAAAGGTCTCATTGCAAACGGATCACGCATTACAGTTTTTCCAGAATGTTCTGCAGCAGATGTAGCTTCAGAGCACATTGAACTTGCAATAAAAACACCATGTTGCCAACTTAATGCTTCATAAATTAACGGAACACCTTCTGGTCGACGTCCACCAAACATTATAGCAGAAATTGGAACACCTTTTGGATCTTCCCAGTTTGGGTCCATCATTGGACAATTTCGAGATGGTGAACAAAATCGAGAATTTGGATGAGCAGCAGGTTTACCACAACCAGGTGTCCATGGTTTACCTAACCAATCTGTTACAGTGAGGCCAGTTAAATCAATCTCTTCTTCCAACCCTTAAAATTAAACAGATTAAAAATTTGATGCTTTATCAATGCAAAACATTTACAAAATAAACTATTATAAACATACCTTCCCAATAGTAGCCACCATCACTGGTTGTTGCAATGTTTGTAAATACAGTATCATGAGCACAACATTCTTCAGCAACTCGATTAGTTTTTTTAGATGTACCTGGAGCAACACCAAAAAAGCCATACTCAGGATTTATGGCTCTTAAAACACCTTCTTCATCAAATTTCATCCAAGCAATATCATCACCAACACATTCTGCCTTCCAACCGGGAATGGATGGTGTAATCATTGCAAGATTTGTTTTTCCACATTGACTGGGGAATGCAGCAGCAATGTACTTTTTCTCACCTTGAGGATTTGTGAGACTCAAGATCTACATAAACCATTACATACTTGTTTTAATTTTAAATATTACTATGATTTTTCGTATTTATTTGTTATACGGACATACAAAATAACTCAAGACTGTAAAAAATGTTTTGAAAAGTAAAAATCTTACAAAATTATTATTTTGCTTCTGATTTTTTAAGATATAAAACAATTAATATTTTTTTAAAACATTTAATACAATCCTATAGTTAATAATAATAAAGAAAAAAAAAAAAAAATTGCAAATACTAGCCTTTGTTTTATTTCTTAAATTTATTTTAAGTGGTTATAACCAGTCAGCAAGTAGAAAACCTTAATAAACTATTTTACAAGCGATTTTGATGCGAGTAGCGAAGATTTATTTAGGTTGGTAATACAATTCAAAACAATTTTTTCACGAAACTCTTGCGCTTTCATTTATGTTATTGAATCACAAAATTTTAGAAAGTTTATAAGGAACTTCATTTCTCGCAAAATAAAATAAAAAAGGAAGAATAAAATCTTCATAGTTCTAAATGAGCAAAATTCCCTTCCAAAAAATTTGCGTATTGAACAAAACAAAGCGACTATCGCATAAGCTTCGTTATTAGTTATGTTATAAGTCCGAGCATTTATTTACTTATAACAAATTAAATAATTTAAATAATTCTATTATTAAAACTGTAAAAAGTGAATAGTAAGGGAATTTGCGTGCGCTTTTATTACAATTCGTTAACTTTAACGTGATGTTAAAAATTATAAAAACAAAACTACATGTAAAATTTTTTTTCTTCAAATTTTACTCTAGCAGCAAAAATTAAAAACAATTGAGAAATTATAATTTAACTACATATAATTAACGATGCTGTAGTTTACACACCTGAACAAATATAAAACTAAATCATATAGCCTGTTAAAAAACATTGATTTTTATGCTATGCCTAATAAAGTCGTATTGAAACACTCGACATATTTCTTCTATTGTTGAATATTTTGATTAAAAAGGTTAGCTTAACAAAAATTATTTATTTATATTTTGTTTTATCTATAAATAACGTATAAATTTTATGCAATTATTGTTTAAAATTTAGTAATATTTAACAGGTGGTTTATAAAGCGTAAGTTAATTTATTCGATTATGCTTTAAATAGAACAAAAGAGTTTTTTTTTTGGTTATATTTTTATTAAATTATTTAAGAAGACTCGCTATTTAAAAGCTACGAAGAAAAACATTAAATATAGGTTGCTTAAATTTTGTTTCTAAATTAATAAGATTATGAAAACAAAATATAGTTTACCTGCTGACTAAAAAAGTAATAAGTAATCCATAATTGGATTTAATAATTGTAAGGGATCGTCAATAAGTTACCCAACGCTATATTTAACTAATGTTAGACAAAACAAAAAAAACTTCTAATTTTGAATAAGTTTAGCATAACGTAATTTATGGACGACCCCAATTGTTTTTAGTTTTTTGTTTATCAATGAATAACAATCAAATTACTTATAGATTTTCAAGACACCTCTTTTGTTAAAAAAATTTATACTAAAACTATTTTATTTGACAACCTGAAGATTAATAAACTATTAAAATATTAACTACTCTGGACAAAAGTTTCATCCGTATTGTAATCATAATTATAAACTAATAACCTCGTATATTATATAGTTTATTCTCTTAGATTTTTTATTAAATAATTTATATTTCATAAAAAAACTGAGTTTTTCATTCAAACTCAAAATAGAAAAAAAAAATTAATCCTTTTTATGTTTTGAATGTATAATTTTTGTATAAATATTTGATAATATTTGTACAAAAATTACACATTTAAAAAGTAAAAAGAATTATTTTAAAAAATTCTATTTTTTAATTCTTGACTACTTTTTAAAAATTAAAAGATGTGTTTTATGTTATGTTTCCTTACCTTCAGTAACACTAATATAATAACTTCCTAATGACTCTAATAACAAGTATCAATGTAAACAACTTTCTTCAACATCAACTAAAAATATAATCTAATCTAATTAGAAGATTAAATCAACCAATTTTTATTTACTAATTAACAAAGTTTACAAATTTTTCAATATAAAAAATATTGCAATTAATGAATTCACAAATTTAAAGTTTAATAAAATGTGAATTTTATTAAACTTTAAATTTGTTTTGCAAAAATAAAAAAATGTTTTTAGGAAAGATTAATTTAAACTACTGGGTTGTCTTTTAAGTTGAAATAACATTGTGGCTTGATCCATACATTTCACACAGATATTTTTATGCACAATTAGGCCGAGTGAATAAAAAAAAAAATTGCTTTTAATCAGCGTTTTTGGAGTAATTGTTCAGCTTTATGTGAATAAAAATTTGAGCAAAATCGGATAAATTTTTTTTCATGTAAAGTTTTCAAAACGCTAATTGCTCAGCTTTACGTGAATAAAAATTTGAGCAAAACTGCTGAAGTTTTTATTCATGTAAAACTGACTAATTATTTAGTATAAGCAATTGTTTTTTTTTATTTACCTAGCCAAACCGCTTTGAAATATTTTTCTATAGAAAACTTTGAGATGATTAACACCTTGATTTTATTTAACAATTGTTATTTTTATTTACTAATTATATTTTTAAATTACCAATAAAAATTTTTACCTACAAACTACCTAATTATTACTGCCTACAAATAAGAATATTATTATCAACTTTTCACTAAAGCAGATACAACTACTAAGTCAAAAATATCAAATAAATTGATTCAAACTTTAACTAAGTTATTAAAATCATTAAAAAACATAAATATACCATCATATGCTCTGCTAACCATCCTTCATCTCTTGCAATAACAGAGCCAATACGCAAAGCAAAACATTTCTTCCCTAGTAATGAATTTCCACCATAACCAGATCCAAAAGACATTATTTCACGTCGCTCTGGAAAGTGTGCAATAACTGTTTGCTCAGGATTACAGGGCCAATGATATGGATCTGCTGGAACAGGCAAAGGTTGACCAACTGAATGAAGACATTTAATAAAATCACCCTCTCCAAGAGAAGCAAGAACACTGCTCCCTAGCCGAGTCATAATACGCATACAAAGGGCAACATAAGGTGAATCTGTTAACTGAATGCCTGGTTTAGACAAAGGAGATCCTAGTGGTCCCATACTAAATGGTAGTAGATACATGGTTCGACCTAAGTGAAATTGAACCAAATTAAACACTTTTAAAAAATAAATATTATCAAAATATACTTTACATACTTTAAAAACTTCTTTTCGAAAAGCTGAATTATACATTTTAAAGTAAATACCTTTCATACAGCCGTTAAAAAGTTTACGCAACTTCTCATCTTCTTCATCTGTATCTGCCCAATATCCTAAATGGCCTTCAATACCTACTTTATGAGAAGGAAGGGTATCGTGCTGATTTTTAGTGCAAATTATTGTTCTTGATTCAACTCGAGCAACATCTGCTGGATTTGTTCGAACAGCATAACTAGATAAAAATATCAACCAATTATAAGTACATGGATGTAAAAATAATGTTGTCAACAAAGCAAAGTATTTAAAGAAAAAATTCTTTTCATTTTATTTAATTTATTTTAGCTAAAATTTTATTTAATTTTATTTATTAATTTTTAAATTTATTCAAATATTTTTTAATTAAACGCTTACAGTGATTAAATCAAGTATTAATATATTTTTAATTACAACATTTATTCTACTAGATAAAATTTATACAGTGAATAAAGAATGTTAAGTACTATGAATTTTTCTAATCATAATAAAACTATTTTGTTCACAGAACTCCACAGAACTAGTGTTCTCTTATATAACTAATGAATCAAAAGAACGCATAAAAATAAAGCTATATATTTAAGAGGCAGATCCATTAATTTCAATAATTTTAAAATAAATGAAAAACTATTAAATTATACTTGAACATAATTTTTTTTGTTGTTGCAACAACTGTTATATAGACATATGTGCAACAACTAAACTCTTTGAACTATTTTTTTTTTCTAATTCTTAAAGATGATATTAAAAAAATGTCAAAGCAAAATGCCCAATTATAGGTGTAACAGAAAATATTCTTTTTTCTTTTATCATAATTATACAGCACACTAAGTTTCACTAAGTATTATTTTTTCTGCTAAAAATGGATGGTATTTAAAAGATATTGCCTTATAATCTAAAGCTTTTAGATAATGTTAATGTTAAAAAAGTGTTAAAAGGGCATTATTCCAGAATACCAGGAGATTTGAAATATTTATAGTATTTATAAATTGATAGTATTTATAGCTTTGAGTGTTATAGATAATAAAAAAACAAACACTTAGGGGCAAGACAAGTAGGTGTCAAGTGGTTGGGTGGGAAGGGGAGAGGAAGGGAAAAGGGCTAATGCCTTACAGTTTTTGTTGACTAAAAAAAAGGTCACCTAATTCCAAAATTGTCTAGTTGTTTAATGTCTCAATTAGCCGACTGAATCTCAAAATTCCAATATGCTGACTAAAGATACAAAAAGGTACCAATTTGTTGACTGATGGGTATAAGAACTCATTTATTTGAGAGAAAGGGGGAGGTATGTGGGTTGATGTCACATCCCACCCCCCTCTTTACATTTTGACACTTTATTTAGACAAATAATTAGAGTTTTCTGATTATGTCTATAATCAGAAAACTCTAATTACTTGCAGACTTTTGTGTATTCCTTTTATTCAGAAGAGATTTTTTGCAGATATTTCTATGTACTAAAAAAACATTGAAGTAACAGGTGTCACACAAAAGTAATAAAATCATAAAATGAAGAAAGTAATAATTTTGGCTTAAACTTTAGAATAGATATTTCCACACATACATCTTAAAAGTAATTCATCTAAAGTACACTATTTTTTAAGTAATTTTAAGTATTTTTAATTTCCAGTGTAGCTGATGCACTTAGGAAAGATGTGGAAAATTAGACTAAAAATTTACATTGAATGAATTTCAAAACCATAATTAGATGTTTATCTAAATATGATTTTCTCTTTCAAATGTGCATTGCTACTCTAAAGAGTGGGAAAATAAATAAGAAACCACTTTCATAAGAAATTACTACTGAGTGTCATAAAAATAAAATTATTAATTAAATAATATAAATAAAATATTATTAAAAAAATAAATATTAATTAAAGATCATACCAGTTCTTAAACTTTTCAAGTTTTACAGCAGTGCCTTCTTGAAGTAACAGATTTATTAAAAAATCCCCATCTTCACTAGAACCATCGCATATATGAAGTGATACGGGCGTACATAATTGTACTTTTTCAACAACAAAGACTTTTACTTTTTCTGGTAGTTCTTCGAACTTTCCCCAGGTAACTGCAACATCAGCAGGAAGTAATGCCATTTAATATAACTTTAACTATCAATATATATACAATATATATATATATATAATATATATATATATATATATATATATACATATATATATATATATATATATATATATATATATATATATATATATATATATATATATATATATATATATATATATATATATATATATATATATATATACGACATAAATTAAATATTACATTTAAAAAATATACAACAAACTTCGTGTTTAAATAAAAGCTAACTAAATATTGATATTCGTGCAAATATTAGCAAAATAAAAAATAACTTTGTGCAACCGCTTCACCAGCAGAGCCGCCCAAAGCTGTCGCAGAGAAAGTAAGTTTTATATGAAATAAGAGAATTAATAAAAAAAACAATTGAAAACCTTTGTTTACTCGCTTTTGGTTGGCACAGTGTAATAAAGTTATTTGAAATCCTATTGATATTATATGAAAACGTATTGAAATAAAACATTACGTTTTACTTGATGTACATTGATGTAATGACGTCAATGCACTATTTTATAAAGTTAACATCTCATGTTCCAAATGAATAAAAAAAATATTTAAAGCCTTTCGCATAAACGTGAGTGAAACCACGAACGTTCGTGCTTTGTAATTAAAAACCATTAAGTTTAACTAAACGTAAAATGTGCACCCCCGTCAGTAATAAACTATTTGAAAACAACAACAAATTAATAATTTATAAGGCTCATAATATAAGTTTTAATTATTGAGTTTTATTTAATGAAAGTAAACTGAAGATAAATTTAGTATATCGCGCACAAAATACAAAAGTTCCACAAAAGATATCAAAGTATAATTTTAACATAAAATATATGAAAATAAAAAAAATTATGACCATTGAATTTTGAAAGTGTAAGGTATATTTACCGTTAATTTAAATCTTATTTCTCACAAATTTCAATAATAATGATTATGTTAAACTACTTTGACTTTGGTACTATTAAAAAGAGCAATTTTAAATGCACATGTAATTCAACATATGTACTAGCCAATTGAACTTTCCGCATAGTTCTAGGCTCAATCTTGGTTTAAACAAAATACTCATCAATAGATGAGTATTATATTCAAAATAACCATAGAACATTTGCTGCAACTTTTTGTTTCTTTATGAGATATTTATGCATATTTTTGCTTAATGCCACGCCCATCCCTTTTTGTTGTGTGAAAAAATTAGTAGTTTTTGAACGTGCATGTAAAACTACTCAATCAATACAATTAAATTTAAAGTTTTATAGTCGCTTTATGTTATAACCTAATAACATTTGGTTATAAAGTGTTTTAACTTGAAATTAGAAATGAGAAAATGGAATTTTCTTTTTTCAAATTACAAGATAAAACACTTTATAATCAAATGTTTCAAAAATAAGTGAATTTGAAATTAGCAGTGAAACAATTAGTGAAATCCTTGTTGAATTTATTAAAACATTTAACTCCAATGGTAAATCTGAACTAATAATTATATAGATAATTAATTAATACAGATTTTAAACTCTAAATTTTTTCTTCTTTAAAGCAATTTCATTTGCCTATTGCTCGATATTCTAAAGAAGTTCAAGAAAGCCTCAATAAACTGATCCGAAATCCGAGATTGCACCACGCAGAAAAAATAACATTATGAGAGATCAGAATCACTATCTTTTTTTATTTGATCGGATCCTAAAATATCAAGCATTTATTATGCAAAACAAAGAGAGCATTAAGGAAAAGCATATCCAATAGATGAACAGCACTTGTTAGAATCTTAAATATCTTATGTGAAAAATATCTAATATCAAACTTTGCATTTAATTTTTTTTTAGTGCTCATGCGTTCTAACAAGCACGAATAACGCGTTGAATTACGCGTTTGTGTGTGCGTTAATTTGACGGTTTATATCTTTTAAGGCTAAAAAAATTAGTTTCATATTCATATAAAATTATCATAGGGACAAGAATTCCTTGACCCTAAAATCCCCTATTTTGACGTAAAATGTATATTTAACTTGTGTTGAATTTGGTGTTTTTTTTTTTCGTTTTAAACTATAATAATTTGGTGGGTTTTTTTTTCGTTTTAAACTTTATACATACTTTGTAAAGAAAAATACAACGAATTACGCAAACGGAGTTAACAATGTTTATGATTATGGTTGCATACAAGTACTATAAAACTAAGGAATAAATATTTAAATATTGTCTAATTTTAGTTTCTTTAAAACCTTTTACAATAGTTTTACTTTTATAAAATTATTTGCGACATTGGTACAAGTTTATTTCTGCTTTGGCGATAAGTACTTTGGTAATAAACTAAGTATATCAGCTGATACAAGTATATTTAAGTATCCTTAAAAATAAAAACAAAAAAAAAATTAAGGAATTTAATAAAGTATAATAATAAACGCAACGTAGAAAAATAATAAAAACTAAAAAGACAAATTTACTTAAACACACAAAATATAAACTTTCTAGTCTATAATGTTGCGTTTTTTGTTTTATATTCTTATTATAAAATTTTATTAATTATTAAAGCCCGATTTACCAAGTTAACAATTAGCGTATTTTATTCAACCCTGTAGATCCTCGTTTGCGTTTTTTATAACTTTTTCGCGATTTTAATAACTCGTAACTTTTTACCGGAACAAGCATATTTAGATTTGAAAAAAACTTCCTAATCTACGTAACAACTTAAACTAGAATATGTTTTGAGTTCACAGATTTATTTATTTCAAAAGTCTCTGAAACTTTATTTCAGAAGGTTTTATGACTGTTTTTGATATATCGAAAAATTTTCACGTGGTTGATAAAAAAACAAAAGCAAATTAAAAAGCGATTCTCTACGACATGATTGAAAAACATTGCTAGAGGTTTAATCAAAAGTTAATAAAGAGAAAAAGAATTAACATTACTATTTATTATATCCTTTATTTTATTCTACACTTTTTTTACACTGGTGTCACTTTTCACTTTAAAAATTTATAATTTTGTAAGCAAAATTTTTGTCAAACAAAGTTTAATCACTTTTATCTTTTATGACTGACTCGCGTGTCTAACTTTATCAAAAGCTTTAGAAATGTTAAGAGCAGGATTATGAATGTTTTATCAAACTTTGATTTATCCGTTACTTTTACTTTTTTCAAAAATAAACTTAAAAATTTCATTCTTTTGAATAAAAATGTTTTTGATAAAAACTTAAATACTAACGTAATATACACGGTCTATAATTTTTTATAGACGTAGATAGGCACTTTAACGTCTAAGAGCGTAATAAGCCGGGTGAATAAAAAAAGCAATTGCTTTTACTGGAGCGTTTTTGGCGCAAAAGACTTACGTCAATAAAAGTTTGAGCTAAATAGCTAAAAAATATTTTTACATTAAGCAGAGTAATTTACTCCAAAAACGCCGAGTGATTCACCTTTACATGAATAAAAATTTGAGCAAACTCGCTTAAATTTTTATTCAGCAATTACTGAGTAAAAGCAATTGCTTGTTTTTATTCACCCGGACTAGTATCGATAATCGATAAAACACGGCTAAAAAAAAAAAAATTGGCGTTTTATGCCGACAAAATAGTTTGAGGTGTATGTTTTTCCATCGTTCAACCGATGACTTAAAATACAACAACTTTTTATTTGTTTATTGCAAAAAGTAGAATCACAGCTTAACAATGGAACCAAAAATACTTTTTTTAAATTTTTAATTTTTAAAGATAGTTTGATTCAAGAATTAAGGTCATTTTATAAACTAAATATTTTTGAAAGTATTTAGTGTTTTTTTGATTTAATAACAAAATCAATAGCATGATATTACCCTAATAGTGTACATAATTTTGAATGATAAGCATTGATCACACAAAAATATGCCCTTCCACCAAAAAGTTACTTATTAAGAAAAAACTTTTTTACTTATTTTAGCACTCGTCAATTTACAAGATTTAACTTGTCAATTTTTAAAACGGAAATTTAAATTAAAAATTTTTTTTTTAAAACCTTTTTTGCGTTACCATTAAATTAAAAATATTTTTAAAAAAGTCGCAGATTTATTATGTCAAAGGTGGGTCGTTTCCTAGCCATTAAAATTCAATTTACTATAGTTTTTATTATTATATTCTTAGTTTTGAATAATAACGGTCTGGTTTAAAGTACTTGTTAAAAGAACGGACTCGATGGAAACATTGATGCGATTCTTAAAAACGTTAAATTGAAAAGTCATACAAATAAAATAAAAAAATCATAAGTTTTGTGGTTTAAAAGTTGCATAAATTTTTAACTAATAATAATATAAATATAAGTTTGGTATTTTTTAAACGTAATTATTTAGCTTTAACTCATGGTATTTGTTTTGTTTTCGTTGTACATTAAAAAAAATGTTGAAGTGCCTAATATAGCTAAAATTTGCTAATATGTATCATATTTACAACTATTCAATAAGTCGATTAGTCCTATGTAAGTAAGTCGATTATGTAAGTACTTCAAAAATGACGTCCTATATTTACATCATTGATTCACGTCAAATGCTAAATTTAATACTCTTGGATACTACTATTTTTAATTTCGGTTTTTAAATTTAAATGCATAATTTAGACGTCCGAAATACGGAGTTATTTATATACACAAATTTATTTAACTGACGTTTATATAAATATGTGCTAAAAACAGCTTGTTTGTTATTTTATTTAAATATAATATTAATAATAATAATAATAATAGTATAATAGCAATAATAATAGTAACAATAATAATAAAAATAATAATGAGTAAGCTACGAAAGATTTATTTATCTGTGGAACAAGGGAACTCCCGAAACCCTGCTTATAGTAGCCAACTGTTTGTTGTTGTATTTATCGTATATACAAATATTGAATATGTTGCATAAGATAATAATTATCTTTTTTAAATATTATAATATTCCAATAAAATAAAAAACAAGCGGTTTCTAGCACTTTCTTTCTTATCGATTCGCAAACTTTACTTATACTTATATTGCTACCAATTTTTATTTTTCATAAAGTTTTTTGTTTATTTTTGCAACTAATATTACTTCTTTCTCAGACTTTATTGTCTTTTTACTATTTCTGCAAAGGAAACACTAGTTACAGGGTGAGTTTTTTTGTTAATTTTGCTATTAATCTTTTATTTTAGAGGCCTTATCACTGCTGCTGAGTTTGAGGATTTCGTTTGCGTTGTTAAGTCGAAAAATTCTGAGTTTAAATTATTACGCTCACAACTACCTACCTACCAGGTATGAAGCCAATATAAAAATGGTCTCCTTTAACCTGAGTCGGTTACACTTGTCATGAAAAAGTCTTGGTGATTAGATGACACTAATCGACTAAAATGACAATAGTCACAGAAACCAGAAGGCTTAAATCAGCAAATAAAGCTCTCTATGGTTTTGTGAATAATACAAAACCATACTTGAGTTTAACTCATATACTCATACTTGAGTTTATGTTATTAACAAAAAACTCTGCTGAACAATAATCATAAAAAATTATTTGTATCAAAATTTATTTTGTATTTTCAATTTTTGTTTTGTAAAGTTTTATTTGGTTGGCATAAAAATTATTTATTTTACTTTGCTCATCTCATGTATAGTTTATATTTATGAAACCCTAATTTTTAATTATGACATTTATTTTGCATCTTCAATTTTTGTTTTTTAAACTTGAATTTTGACTGGCTAATGCATCATTTTATACGTACAGGTACTTACCACATGTACATACTTGCTACATTCACGTGTATTTATACGCTTTTATAAATTATATATAATTTGAGTAATTGAAGTTGTTTACATTTCAAATAAAATAGAAAGAAATCTTTTTTTTACATTTTTTTCTATTATGCTTTTAAAAAATATATCAAATGTTTGTTATTATTAAATTAATTATATTGCATGTGAAATTACAAGATTTGCCTTTCCAATTTACTTGCTACTACAACATGACGCACAATCTCGCCCTCCTTGTCAGACTGCATGCCAAACTGTTTTGATTTTTGAATAAATAATATTGTCTGTTTGAATAAATAATATTGTCTATTGTTTTTGAATAAATAATATTGTCTGGAGAAATAGTACTTACTTAATAAGACTTAAAAAGAACTACTTGAAAACTAAAAGAAAGTAACTAAAAACCACTTGAAAACTAAAAGAAAGTAACTAAAAACTACTTAAAAACTAAAAAAAAGTAACTAAAAACTATTTAAAAACTAAAAGAAAGTAACTAAAAACCACTTGAAAACTGAAAAACAAAAGAAGGACTTTAAAAGAAATACTTAAAAAGAAAACTTAATAAGTCTGGAGAAATAGAACTTACTTAATAGGACTAATTTAATAGAACTACTTAATAAATGTTCGAAATTTTAGATTTAATTACTTTTGAAATTAAAATTTTTAAATGCGCTTTTTTATATATTTTTTATTTATATAAACTTACTGTTTATATAAGAAAATTTTTAGAAAAATAATTAGAAGCGTTTACATAAAAAAGTGGATTTTATAAAAACCAGACAGAAACTCAAAGAACTTAAGTCTCCGCAGAAGAAACGAATGACTAAAGTCACCAAAATCTTTTTATAGAGCCTCTATGTAGGCTTTAAAAGTAAGTTAAAAATAAAATAAAACTTAAAAATACTATGTACAATTCCAATATAATAAAGAGAACTTTTTTTTTTTTAATAACGTCTTCACTTCCAACAAGACTGCAAGCAAACATTATTAGAGTTGGAAGTTACTGGAAGAAAAAAGAATTTTATAAAGTAAGATATCGAATAACAGACGACTTAAAAGACCAACTATGTTTACAATGCGTTTTTGCATCCATTCTAAAAGAGAAAGGGTATCGTTTGAAGATTCGCTCTAGATATATGGCTACAGTATTCCATACAAGGACGAATTTAAAATTTATAGAAATAAAGAAAAAAATCCGGAATAAGAAAGTGACGAGCACGATAAAGAAATGCAACCTTAGCTAATTTTGCAATGGAATTGATTTATCGTTTTCAAGAAAGATCGGAAGTAAGAGTTATTCTTAAAGATGAAGGGTAGACTTCAATTACACTACCGTTCATAATTATAGGAAGATTTAGATTGCTGCAATAACTATTAGCTGAAAAAAATTGAGTTTTATCTGAGTTAAAGTTTACCAGCCACTGAAAGCCCCATGCTTTAACGGAAGTGAGATCTTTTTCAAGCTTATATGTCTTCTCCAAGCTTCTTATTTATTATAATAATAAATGTTAGTATCATCAGCAATGCTACCTGAGATGTAAGAATTTCAGGAAGATTGTTAAATTAAATTAAAAAAATTATAGGACCAAAGATAGAACCTTGAGGAACCCCTGAAGTTACAAGAAATAAAGAGTGCTGTCCATCGAGGACAACTTTTATATTATGATTGGTTATAAAAGATTCAATAATCTGAAAGATGTTACCCGATCACCGTAAGAAGAGAGCTTAATGAGAAGACCAGCATGTCTAACTTTGTCAAAAGCTTTAGAAATGTCGAGAACAATAGTCTTAACATCTTGACATCTATCATGCACGATAAAACCTATCAGTTATTACCGTAAACAAATCATTAGTAGAACGAGAAGATCGAAATCCATATTGATGATCAGAAACTTATTAGATTCAAAATGAGAGATTAAGTGTTAGTTGAATAAAGACTCAAAAAACTTGCTTATGATAGTAAGTAGACTAATGAAACGGTAGATAGACGAGTCAGAAATAAAAGCTTTCATAAATATTTTCATTAAATCAAGAAAGTTAATAGTATCAATATAACTTTAACGATAGTCATTCAAAAATACTATTGGAATTTTTAAATTGTTCAGTAGTTTCATTACAGCATTTAAATACTTTTAATAGTTAAACTAGAAGCTTTAAAAATTAAAGCTAGAAGTACTGAAAAAATTGCAAACAAACCCACACAGCCTTGCAAAATTGCCCCTGATCATAGAGCATTAGGTTTTTACTTTGGTGTTTCAAAAAATCCAATAATAAATAGGCTAAACATTTTTAATAGTACTTAATTAATAATATTAAAATAATTAACAATAATAATATTAAATAAATTAATAATACTACTATTTTTAAAACAATATTATTATTATATATTAAATAAATACTATTATATATTAAATAATGTTAATATTACATTTTAAAATAATAATATTATTAAATAAATTATAATATTGAATAAATTATTATATTGAAGATATTATATATTAAAATAATAATATTATAATATTGAAGATATTATATATTAAAATAATAATATTATTAAATAAATTATAATATTGAATAAATTAATATTAATGTAGTTTCAATAAATTGAAACCACAATTTATTATTATTATTATTTACATTAAATAAATAGCTTATTTTTAAATTACCGTTTAACCCATAAAAATCACTTAATAACATTCACTCAAATCAAACCATTTTGTTCTTCCCTTGGAAGTTCGAGTTATCAGGAGTTTACTGTATTTAATAAAAGTTCTTAAATGGGAAGAAAGTGTCTTATTTTGTTGTCGAAGGTAAAAATCAAATAGATGGAACACATCTTAAACTAAATCTTAAAAGGAAAAGAAGCAAATAAAGGTTTCATGTTATTTCAAAATACCCAGATTTTAGTTTACACTAAAACCTTTATATTGAAGAATTTCCCACGAATAGTCGAATCGGGGATCAATATAATTTATTGAAATTTCTTTTTCATTAAAAAAAACTTTAAATACAAATTTCAAAATATTACAATGTCGGGTTTCGTCAGTAGTAATAGAGTTCATTTAAAATACTTTATCACCATAATAATACATGTATATATATATATATATATATAAATAATTATTATACAGTTTAGTTTATATATCAATATCTCGTCATAAAAATTTCTACAATAATTTACTTTTTAATCAATTAGATTTGTTTTTTAAATAAAAAAATTATTTTAATATTTTAAAAAAAAGGTCAAATAAAATAAATAAAAACGTTTTCAGTTATTCAAAATCGTTTAGTATTTTATTAAAATGAATATAAGTACTTTTTGAACGTCGAAATTGTTTATTATATAGAAGATTATATTTACAAGACGTTAGTAATCCAAATCATTTTTTTAATTTTAAATGTTTTTCTTTTTTTTTTTAAAAGGTATAATTAAAACTGTTTATAATATATATTGAAAAAGAATTAACGATTATGTTTTTTGCAAATCCATTTGAAGTTTGGTTTACATTTTTCTAATTCAATCGGCTCTTTGACGTACAACCAACTGCATTGACAACAATATGCGCGGAAACCTTAAAACAGCATACATAAACATCTAAAAAACTGAACTTTATAACTGAAACAGATGAAGTCTGCTATTAAAATGAACATTTTATTGAATGAAAAAAGTGGTACACCTATACAATTTTTAAATAATCAAACAAATAAACTGAGGTGTCTAAATTGTTTTGTCCGAAAACCTATATATAATATATATAAGTTTATGTAAACATATAAACCTATATATAAGACTTCTTTAAGAAAAAAATAAAAAATAAAAAAATTATATAAACAAATATAAAGTAAATATTTTCACTTAGCAAAAAGATTATTGACTTAAAATCGCCGTTATTGACTTGATAAGTCAATAACGGCGATCTTTGGATCTACACCAGCTTTTTTCATTTGAAAAAATACAAAGTGAAAAACTTTCTAGTTCTTTAAAAATGTTGAAAGTTAGAACTTTTTATATACCCAGTTGTTTTCTGGTTTTTACTTTTGTCTTTAATATTGTTATTATTATTATTATTATTACTATTACTACTATTATTATTCTAATTGTTATTATTATTATTGCTATTATCGTTTATATTTATTAACTAATATAAAAAAAAAGTGATAAGCCTGGAAAGTGGTTGATGGCAAAACAAACCCAGAATATAGTAAAATAGCATGGTCATCTGAACTAAAATTAAAAAAATAAAACAAATCATAGTTTTGCTGAGAGGAAATGGAAAAAAAATATTATCACGCAGTATCTGCATGTCCGGCAGCCGCGTGCAAAAAATGTAAAACCTACATGCTTGGCAGTTAAAAAACGCATGCGCGAATACGCTTTTTGCGAATATTTTCAAGTAAAAAAATAACTGAATTTAATGTCTGGCGTGTAGTTTTTTCATATTTTATCAACCCGGGATTTAAGTTAAAAAATAAATAATTAAGATTACTGCCTAGCGTGCAGTTTTTTCGTATTTAATCAACCCGGCACTTATTACATAAGAAAGAAAAAAACTTAGTTAACTGTACCCAGCTTTTATTACGAAGTATAACATTAGTTTGCATGACATTTAGCAACTCTAGATTTCTGAATACAAGGAGAAAAAAAAAGACCAACCAGTCCAAGCTATGCAAGTGCATAAACTAGAAATGGTGGTTCAATCCATTGGACAATTTTAAACAAACAATTTTAAGAAATTCTTAATGAGATTCTAAATTCCGAATACTATTCTATAATAGTTGATACCACTCGAGATTGTTCTATGCTAGTTGATACCATTCCAGATTGTTCTATAATAGTTGATGCTACTTAAGATTGTTCTAACAAGGAACTAATTTTTTTATTCGTTATGATAAAATTTAAGATAAAAATTTAAGATAAAAAAAGTTACGTTGAATAAAGAATTATTTTATTTGACAATATCACAAAAAAATCAAGATGCTGTTTTTAAATTTTAAATTTGGTTCTTCAAACATGCATAGGCCTAGTGTGTGTTTGATAATATGATAGTATGAGAGAGGTATGTTAGCGTGTGTTTGATAATATGATAATTGTGCCATCATGAGTGGGAAATATAACGGCATCCAAACAGTATTTGAACAAAGCTAAATATTTTCTGGCAGTGGAAATCATATTCTTTTACGTGTTGATTGAGTTGAATTGTGCAAAGATGTAGTAATGTATTGGAGAGTTATTCAGAAAATGTATAATTTATTCAGCATTACTCCTTAGCAATAGGATAGTAAACATCTTTTGCTCTTATTGAATTGAATGCCTAAAACCAAATGTTAATTTGGATTGACGATAGGCCAGTTGCACAGCATTTAAAATCACTGAGAAACTTTCTAAATGAACTTGAGTCACCTCGTTTAACAACATAGGTTAAAAAGTAGCAACAAATATTGACATACTAAATAAATTTTCCACTAATCACTATTTACAAAGTAAAACTGAAGCAGAGTTGTTTTTAAAAACAAATGTTTTTTTTGTTGTTGTAATTGACTCTGTTTAATCATGGATCACACATAAATAATTGCAAAAAATATGTAAGATTTTTGAGAGTATAAACACTAAGTGACAAAATTTAGTTTAATAACCATTAAACTAAATTTTACTAATAACTTTTTAATAACTTTCAACAACAGTATAAAAATAAAACTGCAAAAGCCATGAGATGTTATTTTTGAAAAGAATTTATGATGCTAATTTTTAACTTGAATGAATGCCAATGATGTAATGTAGGCTAATGATGTAATGTAGGCCAATGATGTAATGCAGGCCCATGATGCGGTAGTGGTATAGCGGTAAAACACTTGCTTCATAAGCGAGATGTTTCAACTTTGATCCTCGTCATATCCCTGGTAGTACAGCGCTCTAAATTGTTTCTCAACGCAGCGATCTTGTTTGTCAAGATTCATTTTTTGAAGTTAATAAAAAAGAGAGGGTTATAACTGCAATTAAGTAGCCTCTCGGCCTTGTGAAGGTGAATAACATTAAAAAAATATATTGCTTTATATATATTGTTCAAAGAAAAATTGATTTGTCAAGAGTTTTCACGAATATTACAAATGCACTCCATAAATTTGTTAGTTTGTCAGTATCAGCAGCTTCTAGTGAATTTTCTTTCAATGATTTAAAACAAATCTTTGGAACAAAAACGTGCAATTGAACAAGATTAAACTTGATATGTTTAACATAAACTGTTACAAAAACACGAATTTTAAATTTCTCAGAAATAATTACAGTTTTTTCTGAACAATAAGCAAGATGAGCATTTGTTAAATAAAACAATTTAAAACAAGTACAATTTAAGGTTTAACAAAATTTTATCATTATTCTTCAAATGATTGGGAAAACAGAATAGTATAGAAAATGAACTGCTCGGAAAAATGATTAGGGTAGAAAAAAAACTGAGGGAAACTCATTTTAATGATTAAGATCAAAATTATGATTTTCTGACAAATAGGTAAAGCATGTGAGAAGTGTTGCTACATCGACTGACAAATAGGTAGAACATGCATGGAGTGCTGCTACATCAACTTACAAATAGATAGAACATGCAAGGAGTGTTGCTACATTGACTGAGGGTTTGGTTTAATCAGGCCGTTTATCAAAAAATATATATATATTTATTACTAGTAAAATTTTACTTTATTACTAGTATGGCTAGGAATTCTTTAAATTTAACTTTTTAAATAACTTCAGATAATAAAAAGCTGAAAATAACAAAAGTGATAGTTTAAAGTTTTACTGCACAAAGACAAACAAATTGTGAAAATTTATCTTTGTTCATATTTAGTAGCTTAAAATAGAAATAAACTATTTTTTCAGACATGGCTAAATGGCAAAAAGGCACAAACATAGCTTTTATACCTGTGTTATGATGATTTAGAAATATTCTGTAGCATACATCAAGATTTGCTAGGACATAATCAGATATTTTGATTTTTTTGTCTTTAAGTGCTAGATTCCATAAAAAAGTTAGTGTTGCTCATCAAAAAATATTTGTGATAAGCAATGATTCACCATGTAAATAAATTCAAAGCCTTTATGTGCAGAGAATCTAAAAAAACAAGTCAGAAATTGACTTGGTAATGAGATGGTTGACCAATCAATAAGATAAAGACCTTGATTAACATTTAAATTGAGGTTATTTGAATTCATAAATTTATAATTTTATTGGCAGCTTTAACTAATACAAGATGATGGTCTGTAGACGCAACTGATAATGCAACAATTGCCAACCAGATTAGCACCAGACACCAGATTAGCTCACTATTTGTGGTGCTATCTTTGCCAACATTGAGACCACTACAGATCTGTTCACTCCATGTGGTTGATAGTTGAGAACTATGGAGCCATTATGCTGTATGATTTTTATTAAAATAAATAGCAACACCATCATAATAGGGTGTGTCGATTTCAGACTTTTTTTTAAAAAAATGGTTTAATAAAATTTGGGATATAAGTTAAAGTTGTGAATTTTTATGGAGAATCCAAATCTGATTTAATTTTTTAAATCATAAAAATATTTACTTAGGTTTTTTATGAAAGTATAAACGGTTTTTGTTTTCTTATAAACGGAATAATAGCGTTACCAGACAATATTGTGCGTAAAATAAACAGACTTTTAAAAAACAAAACAAAGTTACATTTAGTTTATAAAAAATTTATTCAATTCAATATGAATAAAACTTTGAACAAACTTTGTATTAAATGCGTAAAATAACTTTCAATTTCTCAAAAAGTTTTACTAAAACATATATTTTTATTTTAGTTATGGTCAATAAATTATTTTTTTATTGCCGTATTAAGTAAACAACTGTTAACTTTGTTTTGTTATGAATAAATTTAGAAACTTTTATTCGATTGCTATCATTTTTATAAAAGTAAAAAAAAAAGTTAATTCTTCAACTATTAATTATTAATTATTAATTCTATAAAAATAATTGTTTAAAATATTTTATAACTTGGAGGAATAATGGCACCCAAAACTAAAATAAGTACTAGTATTATGAATCAAATGCAAAATTTCCAGTAACTGTGAAAGATGAGCATTACTCTGTTTGTATGGAAGCTGGAGAAAAGCAACAAAAACTGTTAAGCACGCAGAGATTATAACAAATAAAATTGTTGAATGATTGACTGAGAGAGGTATTGACAAGTCTTTACTGGCTGTAGCTGGAGACTCTACAAATGTAAACACTGGTTGGGAGGGTGGAGTCATCAAACATATAGAAAAAAATTAGGAAAAAAACTTGGCTTATATGTCAACTCCATAAAAATGAGTTGCCATTGAGGCATTTTATAACCAACTTAGATGGTCAAACAAAATCTAACAATAAATGGTCAGGTGTTATTGGGTCCATGTTTGATCTGGATACAGATTTAGATATAAATTCAGTATTTGAAATCATTAAAATTAGTAATGCACTTATTTCTCTAGATGATTAAATAATAAATAAAGTCTGCAAATGTTATGGTTATAAAGTTGTTTGTGCCATTAGAAGTGGTATTTTACCACCAAAATTTCATTTATTACAAATTGTTTTTCATTCAAGATATTTATCGAATAAAGTAAAAAAAAGACTTATTAATGTTTAAAAAAAAGTTTTTTTGAGAAACCAGGTCAAAATTTTATTGAAAAATAAAAATCACCTAAGCAAAAGAATTTTTAATACAATTTTAAAGCCATATTTGGATTCTCTATAAAATTCTGCAACTTAGTAACTCCCTAATTTTTTTCTTAAAAAAATCCAAAATCAACATACCTTACCATCATAATATTTACCAGTTACTTGGAAAAGATTTTAAACAACTATATTTTATAAATGATACATTGTTCTTAAAAGTGAGTATATATATATATATATATATATATATATATATATATATATATATATATATATATATATATAAATTTTTTATTTTAGTAAGGTTTATTTTAGTAATAAAACATTACTATAAATAATAAAAATTAAATAAATATACAGTTTATAAAATTAATAAAATTATAAACATTCATTTACTTTTGTGTTTAGTTAATTTTTTTTTATAAATGTAAACCATATTGTGTATTATACCATATTAAAAAAAAATCATAAACCATAAAAAATGAGTTTATAATCAGAATATAACAGGTTACCGTTTCTTGGATGGAGCACAAACTTTAATCTGCTGAAATCAGGATAATTATTTCTAAATACTAAATAATCACAACTTTCTTCATTCCATTCATAGTTATCAAAATATACAACTCTGTTATCGCAAGAGAGACAATGAATTTGATTACATACTCTACATAAAGAAACATAAATAAACATAAGAAAACACAGTTCAACAGTTTTATTTCATAGCAGAGTCTTAAATCACAAAGTAGATAACTTATTAAATCACAAAATTGATAATTATTTTTAAAATATACTAGAAGGAAGTAGAGATGCTAGTACTTAATTCTTTAAAAAAAAAAACCAAATAAAAAAATCAGTTTGACTCTTGATGTTTAATATATGGAGAAGGACAAGAAGAAATTTTTGCCAGATCTAATAAACATGAGGAGGAAATAGGGGTTTTATCAAAAGGGTTAGAGGAAATTTTTTTTGCTCCAATGTATATTAATCTCATTTAGTTTAAAAAACTTCCAATTTAAAACCATTTTAAAACCATAGAGGAAATTTCTTTTGTTCTAATGTATCTTAATCTCATTTGGTTTAAGAAACTTCCAATTTAAAACCATGTATTAATTAGAGATGCCTCAATGTATAGGTGTCAACATCAGCATTTTTTCTTGGTATCAGTAAAAAATTTTGAATTGATATTACCTCATTCTTCACAGGATTTAAAAGACGCTTAGTAGGGTTGTTTAGGAAGTTTCGTTTATGATCTTTCAAAGTTATAAAACAATTCTCAGTTCCATTAATCTTGATTCTATTACAAATATCATGATTTATTGAAATTTGCTTTATTTACTTTGTCCTTTATTTTTAGGTTATTTTCTCCAGTTTATTCTTTTAAATCTTTCTAAAAAAACGCAAACGCAAAAAACGCTTAACTCTTATCCTTGTTGTAAAACACTTTGTTTTACAACAAAGCTGTTTTGTTTTAGCTTTTTTAAGAATAAAAGTGGCCATCAAATGGAGCAATTGAAAAAGCATGTCATTCAAGTTTTCAAACGTAACAATCTCAATATCTCAATCAATTGCAATGTTAAAATCCTTAATTACCTTGATTTAACTTTTAATCTTACTCAAAATTCATTCCAACCATACTACAAACCTGATAAAAACTAAGTTATGCACATGCAGATACCATCCACCTAACATAATAAATAATCAAAATATCAAGATTAGACAATAATTAGATTAATAGATAAGATTGTCTGCCAACTCATCAAGTGAAGTTATTTTTAACAAACAGATACCTTTTTATGGAAATGCATTAAACCAATCAGGATACACCTATAACCTGGAATATAAACCAAGCATAATATTTCAAAAAACAACCACAAACTAAACATAATCTGGTACAATCCTCCATTTAGTAAAAATGTTGCAACCAAAATAGGTCAACACTTTTAAGTCTAATTGACCAGTATTTTCCTAAAAAACACAAACTACACAAAATATTTATCAGAAACACAATTAAGATAAGCTACTCCTGCATGTCAAACATTAAATCTATCATCAAATAACGCAACAAAAATATTTTATATGGTGATGTAAAGTTATCAGTAAAAACCTACAATTGCATTAAAAAATCTCTTTGTCCACTGAACAAAAAATGCTTGTCTAACAACATCGTTTACCAAGCCACTGTAAGCTCAAATAACCTCAATACAAAGATAAAGTATATATCGGAATAAGCAAAACTTCTTTTAAACTATGTTATGTGAACCATCTAAAATCTTTTAACACAAAAAAGTACAAGAACAACACTGAGCTGTCAAAGGAAGTATAGTAATTAAAAGAAAATAACTATTAAATATAAAATAACATTTTCAATGAAATGGAATATTGTTAAACGCTGTACAACATACAATCCAACATCAAAAATTTGTAAACTATGTTTAAATGAGAAATTTGAAATATTATTTTACAAAGGAAAGACAATCTGCTAAACAAATTTTGTTTGATTAAGAAATTTAATGGTAATAAATTATATATTACACTATCAATCAGAAAGTTTTATTATTTAGTTCACTATTTCACACAAGGTTTAAACAGTTTAGTCAATAATATACTTGGGAATAGTCATAATTTTGTTTATCAGCTGTATATAAAGGAAAAGCTGTTAAAAAATATATATATATTATGAATATCCTTTATGCAATTTAAGGCGTAAAAGACCTTTAAGATTATATTTTGATGGCTCTGCGCAAAGTCAGACTCTCTGTAATCTCCACATAAAACAAAATTGGTCTGCAATCTCTGCAAATAACAAAATTAATTTAATTGCATATTTTGCAAGTCATATTTTTGGACTACCTGCCTTTTTTAGACGTACAAATTTTAGACCATAAAATTTGGAATTTTTATAAAACTTGTTTTACAGATTTTTTTGCGAACAGTCATTATCTTCATTAACTAATCATAACCTATCATAACTTGATTAAGTTTGAATAAGACCAAAAAAAACTTTTGTTGCTGTTAAGATAAATCAAATTACATAATTTGTAATTTATCAATTTTATTTTGTATTTTACTAACATAATTTTTTTAGCAATATAATTCCTGGAAAATGCTTCATGATAATGTAAATATCTAAAAAAGCTATAAAGTCTTTAAAAAATACTTTGAATTTTAATCAAATCATTTTTTACATATTAATTTTTTTACAATATTAATTACTTTACATCTTTGTTTAAAATATGACATTTAGGTAATATTAATAATTTTTGTGAGTGTATTTTTATTTGCTCTAACTATACACTTAATTGACTTAATTGAATAATATTTATATTCTTGTTATAACTTCTTCACCCCCTCATCCTTAACACATCACTTAAATGAAGCTAAACAAACCAACTTAAACCAAAACTATATCTTATTTAGTATTTGTCATGGCTGACTACTACCACGTATCATATTTTTCGACGGAAAATTCATTTGATATAAAATTTTTTTCCTGGAGAATGCAGATGAAAAATGGCTGAAAACGCAGATAGAACAATTTTGTTTTATGCTGAGATTGCAGATAGACCAATTTTGTTATATGTGGAGACTACAGATTTTGCACGGAGCCATCAATTTATATTGATGTTATAAATTTTTTTTTGTTTCTTTCAAATAAGCATTAGTGTTTCTTTAAAGTATACAATATACAAAGTCAATGATTGGTTATCTTTAATATACAATGTCAATAATTGGTTATCAAAAATTTATTTAATCCTTATGTCAAGTCACATGATTTGTTTTACCAGTAGTTTTACTAAAACATTTTTTAAGTTAATTTAACAACACAATTTTGATAAATAAACACATTTAAAAGTTTTTTAAATATCTTAAATTGGTAAATCTAGTTTTAATAATACTTTATGTATACCATTTTTATTTATTTCTACTATTTTTATTTTCTCGAGACATTGTTCATAAAAAATATTACATCAATCTCACTCTAAACAAAAAAAATATATTTTGCTAAAAAAGATACAGTTTAAGGATGCAAATTATACCATGACATTAAACAGTTGTATTTAATTCAAACATTTATATTTTTCTATCTAAAAATCTTAAAACCAATTTACTTTACAATTATTAATTATTGTCATTGTTTTTTATAATTTTGAAAACTGTTTTTAGCTCTTAAATTCATTTTCATACTAATTCTAGTATTTTTAATGATGGAAACTTTTTATGATGCAATATTACAACAATTAAACATTTGTATTTCATGCTAACAGTTTTTGCTTTTGCACTGTTAAAAAGTAATTATCAACTTAACTAGTAAATTAGTTTACTAATTTAATAAAAGTAAAGTACAGTTGAGTCGCCCCTTTGGACTCATTTTGACATAAACAAGTCGCCCCTTTGGACTCATTTATGTCAAAATAATAGTTACCCTTAAAGAAAATCAGTTGTCAGATGCAATTGGGCAACTAAGAATGCCCACCACTGTATACATACACACACATAAACATCAGGCATCTTTTGAGAACATTTTAAAAAGCAAAAAAAAAAAGCGCTAAAAATTAATGACCGATGAGAGACAATTACAAAAAAAAAAAAATTTTTCGAAACATCGCTCTTTTATAATTTTTTTTATAAAATTAAGCGATGTTTTTTATATAAAGTAACAACTTACGATTGTTTAAAAGAGAAACAAATATTCTTTATTTAACAAAGTTTTCAAGTTTTAGTTTTATTTAAGCTAAATTATTTTAAAAATAAAAAAGGTAATTTTTTTAATACCTATATTATGTTTTGCGTCATTTGAAAAGTTTAACATATTTGAAGCAATTTTTCTTAATAAGATAAACAAATGAAATAATTAAATCATTGAATTACTATAGAAATTAAATTAACAAGATAGAAATCAACTAAAAAGGTTAAAAATACTTTATGACGAGGAAGCGAAACTGCTTCACAATATCACTGATAATGTTTAGTGAGTGGGCTTTTTAATTTTAATTAATATTTAAAGCAGAAAAAATTATAACAAGTTTTAAGAATGGCAACTTAAGCAAAAATAATTAGAGTTAGTAAACCAATATCTAGAAACTTTTCTTTATATCTAATTATTTTCTATATATATATTTGTGTTCTGTCATGACCTCAGGCCAGGGTTGGAAAAAACCCAGGGTTTTTTAAAAAAACCCAACCCAAATGGGTTTTTTTGGGTTTTTTGGATTTTTTTAAAAATCGATCAAAATACCAAATTTTTATAATTGTATGAGTACAATAATTTTTTTTTTTAAATTTCATAAATTCACCTCCCTATTGCTCTAATGACCATTTCAGTCAAGGGAGCAACTCATTTTTTAAAAATATTTTGTCTTAATCTTTAACATTACCATTTTTACTAACAAACAACATTAACAACTAAAATTTTTAAACAAAGGCGCTGTGTGGAGAAATAGATTGAGACAGTAATTTCAGCAGAAGTAATTTGAACCCCAACCTTCTGGTTGCGAGCCAAATGTTTTACTACTAGTCTACTAGCACATTTTACCTATAGTGCAAAAAGGGACTCCATCAACTATAAATGATGTTAATTAATTGCTCTAAATTAAAAACATGTTAAGAACATTTTTGACAAAAAAAAAAATCAGTGTAAAAATTATGACAATTGAGTTATTCAAAGTTGATAAGACAATATAAATGTTGCAAACTAGTTTTTTTTACTAACATGTTCAAAAACTACTTTGCACAAGTTTACAACATGTAATCAACAAGTTTGCAACATGATGTTGCAACCTTATAAGTTATTATCAATCAGGATGACTATGAACACTTTTTAAACATTTTTGTATTATAGAAGAAAACTGCTAGCCTAATCACTACATTTTTTTTTATCAGAACATTATACTGTCTAGCTTCTTGGAAAAGTTATCGGCCTGATCAACTGGACTGGCAAAAAATGGATTTTTGCCTAAACTTTGTTTCTAAATATATATAAAGTAAATTTGTAAAGAACCATTACAGTATCTTCGCCACCAAGTTTTTTTTTTTCCTTGAAGATGTTTTACCGGCTCAGTTTTGCAATGCAAATTGCAAACTGAATCAAAGTAACACATTATATAGCTCTATTGTGTGTGTTTCTTCACCTTTTAGCAACTTGATACTGATGTTAATTTTCAACCCGCTGTTCATAGTCACCCCTGTTGGTGGTACATGTTGTAAACTTGTAGCTGATGCAAAATATTTAAAACCTGTTAAATATTCAAAAGACAGATGAGCACGAGTGTCATTTTTACCAACAAATCTTGTCTTTGTGAAATGCATACAAGTTTTCAACATGTTCTCTCATTGAATGAGCAAACATGTTGCAAGCTTGCTTGCACATAACTTAAATTTTTTTTAAGTTTTAAAGTTGTATGCACTGAAGGACAAATCTAGTAATCTGTAGCATTTTTTTTTGCCTGACAACTTTCCATTTCTAAACTGTAAATAAAGTTTAATTTTTATATATAGTATTTTGCTTGTGGCTTTGTATTTTTTTTTTTTTTTTTTTGCAGTTTACAATATAAGCTTTAAAAAATCAAAAATCAAATACCAATATAAAAGAATACAGACATTCGAGAGGAGAATAAAGATACTAAATAACTAGTAATGTCTTGAAATTTAGTTAATAGAATGATTTTTATTTCCTTTATAAGTATTTAACTAATTTAATGTTTTAATACATATTTCAATAACATTTATAATAACTTGCTAAATGTTTTAAAAAAATAATAAATAACCAACTTGCTACAAAAACAGACTGATCGATTTTGGGTATATCCTAAAGACCATTATGTATATAAATACAGTGTTTACAAGAGTAATTACAGTATAAAGGTTGCACTTGGTGATAATAAAGCATTTATAAGTGTTAAAATCAGAGTTATCTGTTGTAAAATAGGTCATTTTTAAAAAAACCCAAATATATTTTGGGTTTTTTTGGGTTTTATTGGGTTTTTTTAAGGTGGGTTTTTTTGGGTTGGGTTTTTTTGCCAACCCTGCCTCAGGCGCGGTGCTTGTTCATCCACGAGTTACTTTGTATCAGGGTTGGCAAAAAAACCCAACCCAAAAAAACCCAAAAAAACCCACCTTAAAAAAACCCAATAAAACCCAAAATATATTTGGGTTTTTTTAAAAATGACCTATTTTACAACTGATAACTCTGATTTTAACGCTTATAAAGGCTTTATTGTCAGCAAGTGCAACCTTTATACTGTAATTACTCTTGTAAACACTGTATTTATATACATAATGGTCTTTAGGATATACCCAAAATCGATCAATCTGTTTTTGTAGCAAGTTGCTTATTTATTATTTTTTTAAAACATTTAGCGAGTTATTATAAATGTTATTGAAATATGTATTAAAACATTAAATTAGTTAAATACTTATAAAGGAAATAAAAAACATTCTATTAACTAAATTTCAAGACATTACTAGTTATTTAGTATCTTTATTCTCCTCTCGAATGCCTGTATTCTTTTATATTGGTATTTGATTTTTGATTTTTTAAAGCTTATGTTGTAAACTGCAAAAAAAAAAAAAAAAAAAAAATACAAAGCCACAAGCAAAATACTATATATAAAAATTAAACTTTATTTACAGTTTAGAAATGGAAAGTTGTCAGGCAAAAAAAAATGCTACAGTTTACTAGATTTGTCCTTCAGTGCATACAACTTTAAAACTTAAAAAAAATTTAAGTTATGTGCAAGCAAGCTTGCAACATGTTTGCTCATTCAATGAGAGAACATGTTGAAAACTTGTATGCATTTCACAAAGACAAGATTTGTTGGTAAAAATGACACTCGTGCTCATCTGTCTTTTGAATATTTAACAGGTTTTAAATATTTTGCATCAGCTACAAGTTTACAACATGTACCACCAACAGGGGTGACTATGAACAGCGGGTTGAAAATTAACATCAGTATCAAGTTGCTAAAAGGTGAAGAAACACACACAATAGAGCTATATAATGTGTTACTTTGATTCAGTTTGCAATTTGCATTGCAAAACTGAGCCGGTAAAACATCTTCAAGGAAAAAAAAAAACTTGGTGGCGAAGATACTGTAATGGTTCTTTACAAATTTACTTTATATATATTTAGAAACAAAGTTTAGGCAAAAATCCATTTTTTGCCAGTCCAGTTGATCAGGCCGATAACTTTTCCAAGAAGCTAGACAGTATAATGTTCTGATAAAAAAAAATGTAGTGATTAGGCTAGCAGTTTTCTTCTATGATACAAAAATGTTTAAAAAGTGTTCATAGTCATCCTGATTGATAATAACTTATAAGGTTGCAACATCATGTTGCAAACTTGTTGATTACATGTTGTAAACTTGTGCAAAGTAGTTTTTGAACATGTTAGTAAAAAAAACTAGTTTGCAACATTTATATTGTCTTACCAACTTTGAATAACTCAATTGTCATAATTTTTACACTGATTTTTTTTTTGTCAAAGATGTTCTTAACATGTTTTTAATTTAGAGCAATTAATTAACATCATTTATAGTTGATGGAGTCCCTTTTTGCACTATAGGTAAAATGTGCTAGTAGACTAGTAGTAAAACATTTGGCTCGCAACCAGAAGGTTGGGGTTCAAATTACTTCTGCTGAAATTACTGTCTCAATCTATTTCTCCACACAGCGCCTTTGTTTAAAAATTATAGTTGTTAATGTTGTTTGTTAGTAAAAATGGTATTGTTAAGGATTGAGACAAAATATTTTTAAAAAATGAGTTGCTCCCTTGACTGAAATGGTCATTGGAGCAATAGGGAGGTAAATTTATGAAATTAAAAAAAAAAAATTATTGTACTCATACAATTATAAAAATTTGGTATTTTGATCGATTTTTAAAAAAACCCAAAAAACCCATAAAACCCAATAAAACCCAAAAAAACCCTAAAAAAACCCTTAACCCAAAAAAACCCTTTTTTTAATAAAAAATAAGAATATACTAATAATATATATTTAAAACATTTGGGTTGGTTTTTTTTAAAAAACCCTGGGTTTTTTCCAACCCTGCTTTGTATGCGTTGTTTGTGTTTAGTAACCAGAAACTTCTTATATGTTTGTTACATAATTAGTTTTATTAACTTTAATGATTATAACTTCATTGAAAATTATTTTTGTAAGTCTTTGTTTAAATCATAAAAATTGCTTTAAAAGATACATTACGATAAAAAACAAATACACAAATTACATTTACATAAAGGGATCGTCCATAAATTACGCAACGCAAAAAATATTTCAAGAACAGAAGTAGGAGATATTAAGCTCTTTTACGCAGCGATTTTCATTGAACTTAATTTTTTATTTTGATTATTTATTTAAATTAAGACTCTGTGAGGGAAAACTTTTGATCTTTTTTTGTTTTGTTTATTGCGAAATTTTGGGTTACGTAATTTATGGATGATCCCAAAGAATACAATCTCTTTTTTTAATAAAAAATAAGAATATACTAATAAAATCTATAATTTATAATAAACTTTTAAAATTTTGACAATTTAATTAATATATATTTAAAACATTAATTTTTGTAAACAAATAATATATATTCTTAAAACAATTTATGCTAGAAATCAAATGGTGAATAATACAATATTCAAATGGTGAATAATACAAGTTCTAAAATATTTCAACAGAATACTCTAGAACTTTATTTTGCTTAAACAGCATATTTTTTGAACCAATAGAATTTGTTTGTTCGTTAATTTGGCAGCTTTTTAGTGTTCGCAAATATTCTTTTTATTCTTTCGCACCAAGATGTTTTGAGAACATTCAAGTTTTTTATGTTTCCATGTATGTCTGTAAAACAAAAATTTTTTGTTTTGTACATAAACTTAAATGTTCTCAAAACGACTAAAAAACATGGCCAGTTTTTCGCAACTAAATATAATTTCCATGATCAGTATTCGAGAGCGATCGCTCCCACTTCCCGACTAAGCCTGAAACATACATATTCATATACATACATCAGACCTGTGGTCAAGTCATTGCCTTTCAAATCACAAGTTAGTGTTAAGTTTTTGTCCAAGTCAAGTTCCAAGCACAGTCAGCCTTAACTAAATTTAGTTTTTTTTTAAAGTGTACAAATTAATTTTAATGTTTTCTAAAAAAGTGTAGTTTACTTATCTCTGTGTATATAATCCATCAAATTAAAAAACTCCAATTGAGTATTTATGACACTTTTTGTACTATTTCGCGCTTTTTTTTGTAGTTGCACTTTTTCTTGCAATTTTTTTAAAAACTTTTTTTTGTCTGTCATTTTTTTCAAAAATTATACTTTCATTAAAAGTTACAGAAAATTTATAAGAAATGAAAAATACAGAAGGTATTTTGACTTATTACATTGGTTATGAAAATTAAGATTGAAAGTTAAAATTTACATCATTACATTCCTATAAATTTATAACTAAATAATAAAACAATAACTAAAAATAGTTAATTATAAATATAAATTTATAAATTTAAAAAATAAAATTACTAACCATTTATTTATCGCTTGAATCACTGAATGCAAATTGTAAGGGCCATAGGCAATATGTTGTAATAGATCCCCTCCCAAGATGAGTGAAATCAAGTAACCCTAGACCACAACTACGTTATCCTAAGCAACAAAACGAAGATTTTAAAAAAGTGTCAATATCATTGTAATTGTAATTTAAATTATAAAATGATTAAATGTTATAAAAAAATGTATTATATGTATTGATTCCTTTTCTATCTTTCAAAAAAAAAATTAATGTTAGCATTTAGTAATATTTATTAATATTCAGAAACCTTAGAGCAAAAAATATTTTTGGTTTAAGTTTTAATCAAAATAAAAAATGAGTTAAACTTTGTTTTCTGAATTTGAACAAATAGCAATATTCAGTAATTGATTGCTTACAATTTTAGGATGAATATTCAATATTTTGGACAATTAGTAAAATTTATTTTGGATAATTAGTAGAAAGTCTTCACTATTTCTTCAACGCTGCAATCACCTATCTGTTACAAGGTCTATTCTAATAAAGCCAAACATGGAAACAATTTACATAGGAATTTAGCTCTTCTAATAAAAAACATCTTGTTTCTCTTGATAATTTGACCAAAATTTGAAACATTCAGTCAGGGCTGTTTTGTTGTTTTGGATAACAAGCTCGTGGTCTAGGGTTGCTTGATTTCACTCATCCTGGGAGGGGTTCGTTACAACTTATTGCCTATGGCCTTTACAATTTGCGTTCAGTGACTCAAATGATAAAAAATTGCGTTCAGTGACTCAAATGATAAAAAATGATTTGGAATTTTATTTTTAAACTTCCTTTTAATAATTTATAGGAATGTAATGTAAAATTTCACTTTTAATGTTAATTTTTATTACCAATGTAATAAAACAAAATATCTTTTGTATTTTTCATTTCCTGTAAATTTTTAATAACTTTTATCTGAAGTTAAAAGTAAATTATCTCAGTGTAGTTAAGGAGAGATCCGAGGAAAAATATAGCGTCTAGGCCCTTTCATTTTCAAAAAATGCTGTTTTATTTTGTGTGCATTTTGATTGGTTTATTTTTTTAAAAAATCACGAAGCTTGTTGTTTCATTTTGTTTATAAATATTCAGTGATTTTATTATCTACAAGTTTGAAGTTTTAGCTTAATACTATAACAGAAGTTATATAAAAACTGAAACATTTCTGTTAAGTAATTTATTCAAATGACTATAAAGAGAATATGGAACACTTGAAAATAACTCTTCAGAAGGCGTTGATGAAGCAGTTATACAAAAACATTTTTGCCATCTTTGACAAAACGGGAAATTGACATAAATTATTTTTATAAAAGGCAAGGAGACCTGAATTTTATATTCATATTTAAATAAATGATGATTTAGTTGTCTACTGATAAAAAATCTTCTGACACTGTTTCATTGCATAATATATATATATTTTTTGATGGACTTCTTTGACTAGATGACAACTCTTGGCTAGACAACTGAAGGCTTGTTGGTGTTTGCTGCAATTCATGGCTCAATTGAACAACTAAAGAATGAGCTTTTTTATTACAAGAAATATTCCCTGAAATTTTATTAGATACAAATTAAAGATTACAAAATTGCAGATCTAAATATGTAGCTGCATACAACTTTTCAATTTTAAGAAAATTCTCACATCTTTGATTTTGATTTAAAATTATCTTTGGCAAGATTCATAATTGTAAGATCATTTGATTCACTTTTGAAGTTAGCAAAGTAATCAGTTAATTTATTAACAGCTGGTTATATAATTAAACAAGTGGTATATTTTGATCCGCTCAAAATTTTTGTAAAATCATGTATAGGCTTTAATAAATCAATTAGCTTGCCAATGATTTCCAGTTCCCAGCTTTTTAACAACAAATCCTTATTATCTTTGTTCTCTGGCTTGATAATAACGTTTCTGATCGATTCGCTAAGTTTAAAAACTGACTGCAACATTAAAAAGGTTGAATTCCACCAAGTAGCAACGTCTTGTTTTAATTTGTTAATTGAACATTTATCTTTTTGATTGTAAATTTTCATATTATTTAACTCAACACAAGCTGAGCAGAAAGCTTATTACTATGTTTGAATAAGCCAACGAGTTTCTCACATTTTTTTAAAATTATGATTTTCGTCAGTTGATAGCTCATTTTTTTTTACAATAACATCTTTAACAATTAAATTTAATATATGACAAAAATAAGGTATGTACAATCTATTAATTAAATCTTCTCGACAATGTTTGATATTTGCAGCAGTGACACTGCAGTGTTGAAAGTGTTTTATCACTTATTTTCCATTCATTTAGAATTAACTCAATTTGGTTTTTTAAATACAGGCTAGTATGGGCTTTTGTGCTATGCTTTAATGCAATCCGAATCGATTTCAAACAAAAATTTTGATCAACAAAATGTACTGTGGCACCGGTGTATGAATGCGAGGTTTATGATGTCCATCCATTTGTGGTTAGATGGCAAAATTCAGCTAGGTTTAAAAGGTGCATTACTTTTACTTTAAGTGATTCAATTTTAAGCAACACTATTTCATAAGGAAAATTTTGTCACGCCGGCAACTTGTACTTGTTATCAAATGAAGCATTTTAATAAAATACTTATTATCAACAATCGACAGCGGTTCACCTGTTTGAAGAACAAAGTTACACATAGATTCCTATTTTATCTATTATCTATATTTATCAAATATATTTATTATCTATATTTGTTAAATCTCTATATTAATATCTATATCTATTAAATCTCAAATAATTTGCCATTACTTGCCATAATTTGCTTGTACTTTTATTGTATTTTAGCTATTTGTTGCAAATTTCGTTGGTTAAAGTATCTTTATATTTACACGTTCCTATTGTAGAGTCATTGTTTTTCACAAAATAACTCTAGACTTTACTTTTATGAATGTTTCGATTCAACATTTTATTTCTACCATAAAAGAGAATAAGAATAAAATACCTATTACAATTAAGTCATGGCTTTTAAGTGTGTTCAGATAAGAATTCCTTCATGAAGAAATAATGTCCTAAAGGATTTGCATGAGTACCTATTATTATTATTATTATTAGAATTTATTTAATCGTTATTAATTTATAAAGGAAGTTAAACCAATTGTTTAAAATGTCCATTAGGAATTATTAATATATGTATCAATCAATAAAAAGAATTTAATTGAATTTATTGACTTATTAAATTTTAATTGAATTAAAACAGAGAAAATTAAAAAAAAAAGATTCTCTGTATCATTTATCAAAACAATTAAAGGAAAAAATTTGTAAGGTGTAATTTTTGTAAGGCGTAATTTCAAGGTGGAGGCTGGTAGAGCAGAACTTTTTTGTGGATTTCAGATTTATAAAATTATCTTTTTTGCATCGTTAACTGATGACACATTATTAAATATTTTTTTAAAGAATTAACTTTTTATAACGAGTCAGTATAACGAGAAAAAAAAAACATTAATGTAGTGCCACAGCATACAGTAAGCTTAAAGCTGAGTTTATGTGAAACAGCAAGTTAGGTTCAATGTTCAGATAATTTAGTTGAATAGAAAACCCCAGCTGAATAATGATCTTGCGCATGGTTCAATCTTTACAAATATTTTTATAAAATAATCTACTCATAAGGATATATCTTTACTAATTGGTCAGCATCATAATAAAATTAAATATTGACAAAGTTAAATCAAACGAAAAGATTAAGTTAAGAATTTTAGGACCTGACTAAATCAACTTTTAGTCGATTAGTAGAAAATCTTAAGTCGATTAAATTAACTATTAGATTTTTCATAGTCGACTAAATCCGCCTTTCAACTAGTTCACTTTTAGTCGATTTAGTCGAAGTTGATAACAACACTAGTTAACGCTGTAAACAAGGAGACTTTTTAATTTCGAACAAAAGAGACATTTTTTGAATGTAAATACTTAACACATTTGCTTCAGCTGTTTTTATGAAGTTGCCCCATTGCGTTTTATGCATTTTAGTGTTAGTTTTGTTTTGTTTGATGCTTTGATTAAAAAATGATTTATTAAAAAAATATATATATAACAGTAATAGTCGAGAATACATGTATACATGTTATTTAATACTAATACATGCTTTTATGATCGATTGCATTTGCAAAAGATCAAATTTGTCAACAGTCTTTCAGACATTAAAGCCAATAAGGCAGCAATTTTGTGCCTCTATGGCTGAAGACACACTTGATTGGAGCGCTGGAAGCAGGCAGTATCAAAAAACTAAAAATAATCAAAGCAGTGAAAGAGGCTCATTGCCCAAAACAAGAGGGCATTATTTCCTTCAAATGTGTTGAAGTAGCAAGCTCTAGTGCTGAAGTAATATATAACAAGTAATAATATTTCTTTACCTCTTGCTAAATGCTAAAAAAAGATCTTTGTTTTCAAGGTAATGCTTTTTTCAATCTTAAAAAAACAATGTTGTACCTTAATCCAACATAAGAACTAGGTGCATTAAGTTATGAAAATGTTCATATATTTAATAATTTTATAATTTTTAAGTATGTTATTGATACTGATCGTGTTGATTATCTTTTGAAGGTTAATAACATGTTAACCTTCAAACATGTGCAACAATAGCTGCAACATGTGCAGAAAGACCTGTTTTTAAATTGCTGAGCCAAGTGATACATTTGACAGTCAAAGGCTGCCAACATCAAAGTTTTGAGAGTTTATTTCCACCATCATAAGTATGAAAAACTGTCACAAAAAGAAGTTGAAATCAACAGCTAAGTGAAATTTGGGCCAAAACAAGGGAATCAACAACTGAACCGAATATATTATAAGGAAATTTGATGATTTATTAAGTGGTTACCGTAACATCTGTTGCAATATAAATAGAAATGTTGCTGTGCTGATGGCCAGACGAAAAGGATTTGAGCAGTCTATTCACATATTGTTTGACATTTCTCACCATGATAGCATGAGATAAGCAGTTTTGATAAATAAGTCTGAAGAAAAATATGCCAGTATTCAGTATCCAGGTAATGTAGATACTGAATAGTTCTAGAAAGGAGTATAAATAGATCTTGTATTTTACAGGAGAAGTTACACAAAGATCTACTCTGGCTGTATTGTAGGCATCCT